TTTTTTCATTTAATCACAGCGGGAAACTAATTGATTAAAGGTTTTTTTATTGCTAGTCGCTACCCTATTCCGCAAATATTCTCTAGACGGATAAATTCGTTAAACCCCGATTCCATTTCGAAATAGGCGAAAGAAATTTTTAATTTGCATTAAGCGCACCTCTTCAATCTCAAATAAACTTAAAGTTAACCGCCACTTTATTTGTGAAAAAGTGTTTTTGATTATCCGCGTTACGGGATTATCATTGTTGATGTTGTTGGTTAAATTAGTTTAAATTAGGTTAAATTAATATAAACCATGCATAAATTATAACAATACGTTGAAACTTTTATAATCTGTCTATATTAAAGTATATTTTCAATTTAAAGTAGTTCCAATGCACGTGCTTCTAAAGACAATTCAACAAAGTATTCGCTAAGTAACATTCAAAAATATATAAACATTAACTTGCAGTTAATTACTAACCGAAATTTTGTTCATTTGATGTTGCCATGAGGAACTGATCCTGAGATCGTCTGTGGCCGAAAGTGACAGCTACTTTTGATTTAGTTTAAATTTTTCGAAAGGATAATTTGAAAGAAATTGTACTAATCTTTAATGTCGTTGTATATACGTGTAGCAATTCCTGAATATGAAAAATATAATATTAAAGAAGAGAATTTTAAAAAACTTTTTAAAAACCAATCCTTAGTCATTAAAACTATTTTTAATTTTTTCCCTCACGTATGTAACAGGCTAAAGTTTGGGTATTTATTTTTTAAACTCAAGTGAACTGGAAACCTGAATATATATCTTATCAAAAAAAAGTTTTATATTTGGCATCAATTTCGACACACCACACCCAATATAAGAAAGATGTTTTGGTTATGCTCGGCAGGAACTCCTAAAGGTAGAAAAAATAATTTTGTTAAACGGCCAACGTTTTTCAGAAATTTCTAGGTAATTGAAAAATGTTTTTTGGTCTTTGTAATATATATTTTTAAGACAATTTACCTTTATCAATTATACAGCACTATTGGGTCATATTTCTAGTGAGGTAGCGAGCAAAATATCCCAAAAAGCAAAAGTGCGTCATCAATAGTGTTAAAAATACCAACTAAATTCACTCAAATGTTTAACAATTTGCCAATTTTCTACAATTCGTACTTTCTCAGATTCCACATCACTCAAATAGGTATATATAGACACGAATTGCTTTAAACTCAATCGTGTGTAATTTAATGTGTCGTAAATATTCATGTATGGCGGAAGACAACTTCTTCGCTGCTAATCCATTAACTTGGTCTTCGCCTACGTGTCCACAGATCTAATTACTTCATTTTATATTTCTCAGGTTCCATATTTAATGTCAGTGGAATCACAAAATAATAACTTCTCTCAACTTTGAGGGAAATTTTTATTTCTTAGGATTTATATTACAGCTTTCTCTTGGATTTCGCTACAGTTCTCACTTTTATGGTATGCAATCGTATCTTCAATTAATCTCATTTATTGAACTAAACTCTGGCTTATACGTGTACCTAGAAGTTCTCAATATCCGGGGCACAGTTCTACGCCAGGGACCTCAATATTGCTTATGGCAATACAACATCCCCTAGGCCCAAGAAATTCTGGTTTCCCGGATCATACGACGCAATCATCATTGGAGATAATCCTGCGTAATAACTTCGGGATCGTTCCCATTTTCGGCCGGGTTACCGGGTTAACTGAAGTTGCTTGGCGGTTTAATTCACCCGCCTGACAGATGCCAACTTCTAAATTTTTGACGAAGGTTTGAGCGAGACTGATGTGGGAACTTGATTAAATATTTACTAAATATAGTTAAATAAATACTATATCATGGTAACAAACAGAAAGTAAATAATTATATAATTAAGAAATTAGTTATGCTAACATCTCAACATGAAACCAATATAGATTATCAAAGAAAATCTGAGAGGCTGGACCTATAAAAGATTCGAATACTTACTAACCAATACAGAAGTGCACAAAGAACGAGATAATAATAAATGATATAAAAACCAATAGAAGTCGATGACACCAAAATTTTTTGCGGAAAGTATCACCACAGGCAAACCCCGATTAAGAAACAAAGTAACATCGGACCTAGAAGTTGATGAATATAGCATTGATATTTTTCAAAGAAACTCCCACAGGCTACTGTAATACTAAAACAGTTTCAGTCAAACTCTGAAGAAGCCACAGGATGATTGGCGAAACGTCAGCAATTTCGCAGCAGGAATCCAGAAGTTTTGTAAAAAGTAGCATTGATATTATGAAATACCCACCAAAAAAGAGAGAAAACCCATCTATGGTTGCTGTATAAATGGAAGTGAAAAAATGAAGACGGCAATTTGAATAATGGATGGAAGAACATTTGTGGCACTTATCTTTTGTAGTGTTTTATGAGAAGAGAAGTACGGATTTGATTAGTTTCATCTATTTCTACCTACATTTAATAAAAGCCCTATACTCCAGCGGAATAGACCAGGTATAGGTTTCCGTTCACATCCGCGTTACAAATATTAATAAAACACTTCTAAGCAACGGAAGCCCTGTCAGTGCAAAATCACATCGGTACCGCAAGTAATAATGTTGTTGACCTTTCAATAACGTTTTACGTTCACTTTAAAAACTGTCCAAGGTTTTCTTATATTGTTACTGGTTTCGGTTGCAACGATACACCTTATGATTTTTAACTTTCGTATACGCGTTCCGTCAAATTTGCCCCTAATTACTTTGCGATATCATCGCGCTTTAGCTAAACATATATTTTTTAATTCGTTTAAATTCAAAATAAGTAAAGTTTTGTAACCAAGCATTAGCTGCATGCCGGAAGTGTATACGTATAAGCATATGTGTGCGAAATTAAAATTTAGCAATACTTCAACTTAAAACGAACTTCCAAATCATCTACCACAGTAAAGAATTATGGAAGTTTAATGCAAGGATGTTATTGCAATGCTCCATTTGTTTAAGTATAAATTGTCGAATGTCACTGTTTAATTTTGGCGGTCTCATGAGCGTATCAAAGGAGCAAAATAGTTGCTACATGGGTTAATAAACAAACTTTTGTATGACAGTTCGTTATTGCATTTTAACTCTATACTCTCTTGAAAGATTTTCAACTCATTTTTGATACCTAAATCTGGATTTTCCAAACAAATTTGCGTCTTCAATTCTATGAATAACATAACAAGTTGATTTATTTATGGTAATGTTCAGTTAAACTCATTCATTTCTCAAAAACTTGTTATACACGTGAAAGTAATTTCTGAACCAATTTATTCATAAAACAATAAATGAATATTATATAACAAAAAGCATTAGCAGCAAAGTCAATATAAGAATGTAATATTTTTTAGCTCTGTTTATTAATTCAGCTAACCAACATCCTTCGAACCACAAGACATACATACCGACAGTATAGCGCAATAGTGTAGCAAAGTGATATCTAAGATTATAAAACTATTTTTAATTATACAATTGCGTGACAATATAAAAATATCTTATACCATACTAAAATCATATATAGTGTGAGTGCTAGCAGTCAGGAATGTAGCACAGAACAAAATTGCTATTTACAATTTTAGAAATAATAGATCTAGATATCTTTTTCTCCACTGCAAAAAAGACAAATTTCAAAATTTATGAATTTTATTAAAAGTAATACTTTCTCCCAGAACAGTAAGCGTATATAAGGAATGAACCTGAGCAATTTTCGATGAATTTTTGATAATTTATAGTATATTCAGTATTGTTTAGACCACTAGAAAATCCTTTAGGCTATTATTAGAACTGCAATTATAAAATTCATAATTTTAAAATATTATTTTATCCTGAAGAAATGCAATTTATTTTAATAACACACTCTTACCTTTATTTATAATACCCGTACAAATGGTTTCTCTTTGTCACTTTCTAAAAATTAGTAAAAATTTATTCAAATAAAGTCGTTCGTTCATGGAAAGTGAAAACGACGTCAGCAAATTTACTGCTTTTAACAAAGGAGTCTACAGAGACCGCACATCAAAACAACACTTTAATTATTTCTGTTTTGTTTGCAACGGTAGTTTCTGACTTGTGGTTTGTGGCCGTAAATCCGCTCAAAATTTCTATTTGAAAATAATTGAAACTCCAACTTTACTTTTACGTTTTATATTTTTACTTCAATTTTTTGAACTGTCTGGCGTAGATAAAGCTGCGCCGTTAATAAATTATGAATATTTATCTCTTCAATTTTCCCTCTAAAATACAATTGCGTTCAACTAGTTATCTGAAAAAATGTTAAACGCAATTCGCTTGACTGTTCGGTTTGAAATCGAATTTATCAATCAAAATGTGTGTTCCGACGGCATTCAATTGTTTTTGTTCGGAATGAACAATACCGGCGTATTTTTATTAAATTTTCCGTTTGCAATGTGCATATCAGTATTATACAATCTTTCATTAATTAAAATAAATTACTGTTTTTGTTACAATATACACCTAGTGTATGCTTTATTCGTTTTAATTTCAGTATTAATATAAAACCGATTTTATGAAAAATGATAATTTTCCAACCACTACATTTGTTACGAGAACTAAAAAATTCCTATTTGGTTTATACTAACGACGTTGTTGAATAAAACAAACAAAACATGCATATGTTAGTTATAACATTTTAAGTAATCGTAGATATTAAAAAAATTCCGGAAACATATTGCACCACCCAAATACCTTAACGTGCGTGGGACTTATCATGAAACTAGCGAAGAAAATCAATTATACGTTTTAAAAAAACCTCAGCTAAACAATGCCGCCCGGCTACGATTTTTCGAACAACTACTGCCCACTTTTATCCGTCTCACCTTAAATAAAATTGGCCTCACAAAATCCACATTCGCTGCATTACCAGAGCCATTTTCAATTAAATAGATGAAGTGGTTCTTGACACCAGAACTAGACAAACATGGAACTACCTATGAAGTCGGCTGACAGATTGACATTTAAGTAATCAAATGTTGACGTTAAAAATCGCCCAAAAAATCCTTCGCCGATGGCTCGCGCACGCATACACAACGAAAGGTATCTCGAGTGGCCTCGTAGGGGTTCGTCACAATAGCAGAGGTAAAATATGTCCACCGGATCGAGACAAACCTAAAACAAGTGGCGACGGGGGTGGCGGTAGAAAACTGATGATGGCCCTGGGCGCAACAACGCTTGCGGCTGGTGCTACGTTAGCGTACGCAAAATATGATCCCAATTTTAGGAGCAAATTCGAAGACCATTTTCCGATAGCGAAACCTCTTTTTAAAACGTTAGATGGCGCCAACTTATCGATAATCTACGCCAATGCCAAACAAACATTAATCGGTATCATCAGTGACGGTGGTAAAGAAGCGCAGCTTTTACAAACGGGGGACGATTTTCCCGCGTCTAAAGAATATAAAGCGCCAACCCCTATCGTACCCGCCCTTGCAGACGAACTCGCGAAACTGCCAGAACGTTACCACGAAATAAGGGTAGAACAACGAGAAGAAGACAAAGACGAACCGAAAGTTGAAATCAAAGGGGAACCTAAACCGAAACCACGTGAAAATGACGCGCGGTACCTCGCCGAACTGGAGGAACAAATCGGCAGTTTCGCAGCTGAAGCTGTAAACGCGTACGCCGACTCAATCCGCATACTGTATAGCTACAATCAGGACGTGGAACACATAATAGACACGTCAATAAACGACGTCCAAACAGACGTTTGGGAAAATATAAGGAACAAAACGAAAGCAAAAAATGAATGCATCAAACGGGCGCAAGAAAAAGCACAAGAAGCAACGGACAATATCAACCGACTCAAAAATCTGATTACGCAAACGGAGTTTGTCGGCTCAGAAAATACGAAATTCATCATAGAAAATAAAATTTCCAAAATTCAGAGCGATTTGGAAACGGCCAGGTTGGAGATGGAGTTCGAGTTGAAACATGGCGGCGTAACGGAAAAATACTGGGATAAAGTGGAGAAGGCCAGGAAACGGTTCTCGGAGGAACTGGAAATTTTGTTTCCAAACGTCGACTTGGCTCAGAAAATACTAAAACTTAATCACGAGGAGCTTGATTTGTTCATATTGCACGTTTACGCGAACGTATTGTTTTATCAAAAGGAATTGGCTAAAATGGAAACGATATTGCAGAACAAGATCGACAACGCAATTGAAGCGGCCCGCAAAGGAGACTACGAGCCGCTGTCCATTGCTCAAATCTGCGCGGCTATAGAGCAGGACAGAAGAAAATTAACAGAATGCTTTCAGCAGCAATTGCTGAGACTGAAAAAGCAAAACGACGAAGAGTTAAAAATACAACTGCAGAAGCAGTCACAAGTCTTCAACGAACAATTAGGCGACGCAGTGAGAATAAAAGAACTGGAAATCAGTAGAATGCTGTCGACAAAATTTGACGAATTACTAGAACGGGAAAGATGTAAGTACAAAACGGAATTAGCTGCCATAGCGGGAAAACTGCGTGGATTAGATGAGGCAATCAAAGCTAGAAATGAGGCGCAGGCATCGTCGAAACAATCTCAGGTTTTGTGGAGCGCTTGCCAATCGTTGTTGCGAGCAATGAGAGTCGGGTGCCCTGGTATACCCTGGAAAGATCAAATAAGACCGTTGGAGCCTGAAATAAATGCCGTTTTGAAAGCAGCAGCGCCAAACGACGAGGTGGTTTGTATTGTTATCCAAGAAATCCCCCACGAAGCAAGGCAAAGGGGAGTTTATCCGGAAGACGCTTTGAGGGATCGATTTTTTAAAGTAGCACGAGTTGCACAAACTGTAGCATTGGTGCCTGCTGAAGGAGCCGCATTGCCCATCCACATGTTGTCCTATCTCGAGTCATGTTTGCTGGTCGGATCTGCAAATTCCATTTCGCGCGCCGAATTAAACGATGAACTGGTTGACTTTAGCAAAATGAACACGCACGAAATTTTACAGCGGGCGAGGTATTGGTTAGATCGCGGGGACCTTTCTCAAGCCCTTAAATACATGAATCTTTTACAAGGCGCGCCTAGGTGCGTGGCCAGTCAATGGATGAATGAAGCCCGAATATTGCTGGAGGCGCAGCAAGCGGCGAATTCCTTAATGGCGTACGCAGCTTCTAGTGGTTTGATGTACTTGTAATATTATAGAAAGTCAACAAATTTATTTGTTTTAGTTCCATTAAAAACTGGATTTTCCAGTGACGACTAAAGAATTAATATTTATATTATATTAAAAATCGTTACGTCCATTTCAATACTTCAATGATCACAAAAATAATGACTCTATATTACAAACAATTACATCATCCGATGAACTTTTGAGTGATCAGTGATCTCCAAAAATAACAAATATAATTGGTAAATAATTTTAGATTAATAATAAAAAATAAATTTTTGAAACTGGGGAACGACGTTCTCCTGGGAACAGATGTTCGGTGTTTGTCACTTTCATTTACTTCCTCGTTGGGTTGCAATGCGAAAGTACTACAGGATCAAGAATTAGGTAGATCAAAAATTAGAAAATTATGGCATAAACAAAAAAAAACATTCATTTAGTTCACGCTCAAAGTAAAATATTCACAAAATTCACAAAGCTTTTAAAATATGAAATATTTTATTGGGTCATGTATATTCATGCCACTGGCATTACCATAAAAGCAGCAGCAACCTGTTGGATGGCATTAAACTCGGAATTAGATGAGACACTAATATTTAATTGCAAATGAGTAGCAGCTTGTAGAGTTTTCACATTATTGCGCTAATATTTTTGTGTCTTTCAAAATGGCGCATCGAAAACATTCGCCGCTTTTACTCCCTTTATTTTACCTTAATATTACGAGTCTTAAAATATTTTCACGGGGATATATTTAGAAGGTCTCCACGATATTAGGCAGTTATTAAAAATGATAATCATTGCTGTTTGGCTCTTCCTTTGTAAGTATCTCAACACTCAGAAATTCTACGGATTAAAATCAAATTGAAATAAAAAGCACTATTCTGTTGAGAACATCGAAAGAGGAAAGGCTTACTGCTTCCCTTGAGGTGATTCCATATTATTGCTCTTAATGATTCTGATTCATTCACTGGTGCATTATCGCGTTCAAATCTCAACTCCTAATCATAATTAAACAAAAAACTTAAAGCATGTTCTTGGTCTTTGGAAAATTAAGAACCTTGATATAAATAAATAGTCTATAGTCTAACTAACTAACTAACGTTTTCTTTTATCAACAATAAAAGTCATACTATTTCACATTCGCATTGTCATAATGACAAAAAAACGCAGTGGAAATGTTGCCGAAAGCGTAGATAAAATCGACCAGTGGAATAACCAATCTATAGGCGCGCTGTCGATGAGGCATAGTTGTTCTGGGTCACACGGACATGCTCTCAGGCGCTCTTTCGAATACCCGCGCAGCACACCTCAACGGTCTAAAGTCTAAACCAAAGGCGTGATTTAAATAGGTGAGTTCGCTGCAGTTAGCCCAGCGCAACACCAAATACTATCGAATTTGCTAGCGGTTTTGTGTTTTACTGTGTTTTTTTTTAATATCTTCATTCTAACCGCAGTCAGAACTAATTTTTCTTTCATCGTATCAAAAAATCAGTTGAGTGACAGGAATTAATAGTTCCAAACCGGATTCCAACTGCGGTTGGAACAAAGCTAATAATAATAAATGTGCTCCTGTTGTTATGTATTTCTGACAATTTATATACACCGTGAACTATGGAGGTAGTCTTTAATTAATGCGTAAAGATTATTTAAACATCGACACGTAGAAAAGAAAAGGTAGGCCCTTGCGTACTATTGAAAAGGCTGGTGTGCAAGTAGAGGAAAAAGTTATACCTGTAGTTTTAGTAACGACATTTACAAAAAAAATGAATGGTTTTCCCTGCTTACTTTTTGACGGTACTGAAGGTTGAATGGAAATGGGGGTCACCGATCTAAGGCATTTAAGTTTGAAAATAAAAAGACGTGAAAATTATAAAAGGCCCATTCATAATTGTAACCAATAGCAGGGCCCAATTAGATTCTGCTTATTGAGTAAATATACAGAAACCTAATGGAAATGTCACAGAATGGATATATTTTATCAGAAATTATTAATTCTACTAAATTTTGCGGAGCTTTAAAATTGGTTGTCCGAGAACATGATTAATTTTTCGGTTGAATTGAGTATAACTAGCAACTAAAAAATTCTTGGATATTTAAGAGTATTTTCAAGGAAATTCAGAATGATCTGTTGCAATGCATGCTAGTTTCTCAGAACGCATTAAAATTTTTCTCACGCCACTGCTTTGGAAATAACTTTTACAACTACGTGAAAATCATACAATGGAGTCGCTGCGGGAGTTTATTCATATTTTTTCCCAACATATTAACAATATTATTAACATCCCTTTCTTGAGTTTGTTTGAAATAAATAAATCTCGACAGTGCGAATTTCGTTTCGTAGCTACCTTAGGTAAAGCGCAGACGAGGGATCAAGTATATCTGCATGGATTTCCGGATTTCCCACAAGGCGAAAGGCATTTTCCTCCGAGTTTGACTTTTACTTAATAGCGGACAAGAACGGTTTAGACGTTATCTCCAACGTAAAACCAAAAACTTTTCCGTAATTTAAATTATTTTTTAAGAAAGTATTTCCACAATATGTAATAATAGGAGGTGCTCACTGTGTATAAAATCTTATTTATGTTTACATATATTTTAAACATTCTTTTTTATTGTATGCCATGTTTCCTGCTTACGTCCTTTCCTCTTCTCTTCAGAATTTTCGCCATTGTGTCACTCCATTTTTTCTTACGTCTCTCTCGCTTTTGTTTTTGTATTGGATTTGCTTATCATAGCTTTGTTTTACTTATCTACTTTCGTTCATCTCTAATACTTCACAAAAAGTTGATTATTTTATTCTTCTCAAACAAAACAATTTGCTTTGCTGTTGATTTATGTCAAAATTTTTCCGAATTAATGACTTTGTTTTTTCCGATATTTTGCAAGTACACATTGTTTTCATTTTGGTCCACTTTATAACCCCGATTTGTTATTATTACTATCTGAAGCCTAAAATCTGGATCAATAATACCGATTGGGTCCATTTGACGAGTTTGTCGCTTGTATCAATAACAATGTTGTTTCGGAAGCGAATTAAAATTCCCTTGTTCTCGTGCATGTTTATGGAGATGCTAATAATAATTGCGTCTGGGAACTTAATTATGTTTTTTTTTCTGTAGTCATTTCAGCAGCATTGTCGCGAAATATGTGAAGAAATTAAGTTGACCAACTAGAAAGACCGGTATTTAGATTATACAGAGCGCCGGATAACTATGATTTGTTGTGGTGGCCAATGTTAGTGGCAAACATTCGCCTCCATATCTATTGAACAAATATTTTTATTTTTATATTATAAGCTAGTGCTCTATAACGGATAAGTTTTGGGACAGCTTGTATACTTCCATTGCTAAATTATATTATATATGCAATAAATGAAATAAGTTAATTTTCAAATAATCTATCTAAGAAATAAAAAATACGCCTAATAACTTTTGCACAGCGTTAATTATTATAGTCAAAAATTGAAAAGAAGGACTGACAAACTTTTTGAACACCATTTGATAGACATTTTTTTTATGCTACATTAATAATGTATTACTGAGAAATTAATGCAAGCGGCTTCAAAACAATAAATTTAAAAATCGAGTCGCTTCCAGCAATAAATTTAGATGTCATTCAATGACATTGTTAGTTTAAGTTAGAAACAGTCGAATTAATAAACACAAAAAGCTATAGTTACAGTATCAGATTAGGTACAATGCCAAAAATAATTAGTTGCCTAAATATCTAAAGCGTGTTTTCTCCATTTAATTTTAAAATGCATAATTTTTAAACAATGGCTAAATAATAAATGCAACATTCAAAATAAAGAACTAAAATTAAATGTAAATTTAAACAAAGGCAAAATAAGAATGGAAACGTTGAAAATAAAGAATTAAAACTTATTTTGGACATAACGTCATAAAACATAATAAAACTAATTCTTTTGGGAACGACATTCTACTACTAAACATTTTGCAATTGAACTTGAAGCCCATAAACAAAATTCGACGTCCTACATTGAAACAATTGCGTTACATGATTCGCCAAAATGTTTGTTTCCCACAATAACACGCGAAAATCGCATCACTTCTTGAAACCGATAATCGTTTACCTATATCGTCTTTTTCAACGCATTGACATTAAATCAAAAAACGTAGCATTCGCCGTAAAATTTCGAAACTGATGGTTTAATTATAAACATGCGCAATCCCAGGCGAAATGCTTTGACTCATAAATTTGAAAGTTTTGAAGGCAACGGCTGTTAGTTTCTCGAACTTAATGCGCGAATAAGACAAATTTATTACTCTTAATAGCACGGACTTACCTTGAGCAAAAGTGCAAGATGAAATCCCTAGAAGCAGACAAAGTAACGAGCCCACCGCTCCCGTTATCAACCGCATTTCGGCGCTGTTCACTTTTCCTTCCGAGCGTGTCGCAAATTTTCAGTTCACCAAAACCAAAACTTCACTAATTTCAAAAATAATTGCGCATCGTCATTGTTAATTTTTCAACTGCTCGCGATTTTCTCGGATCAGAAGCGATCGGTGTCAGCGAAAACACGCACGTTTACTTTTACTGAACACCTGCTGCCCAGCTAACTGTTTACGTAGAAAGTGAAACTCGAAGAGAACGACGTAACCTCTCCGCAGAAGTCGCGACAGAACTGGTGTGCGAGACTAAGAACTGGCGACAAGGCCCGCAGGAGTGGGTTATAGCGTGGAGGCAGGATTGCGCTGTATCCTGCTACCGGAGAGCTGTGTCCTGCCTTCTGATAACGTACGGGAGCTGTTATTTTGTTTGGTTCTCCAATATTTGAGAGCGCAAGACATCGCAATCGTGTTGTTGTACAGAGTGTTACAGTAGTCAGTTGGCGATTAATATCTGGCAAACGGCACCTGTCATAAGGAAGTTCCAACTTACGGTGCATTAAGTTGTAATTGAATGTTCTCACTTTTCCATTCTTGATAAGCAGGTTTTTTAGTAAAAGTATTATATTTTTTGTAATAAGCTGACAAAATAAATTCATGCAACTTCATTCTGTAACAACAAAGTGATTAATAATTAATTAGAAGAGTTTTCCCAATTTGAGTTGTATTTTATTACATGATACCTCCCTAATAAAAACAAAAATGCAAATATGTTGAAACCTATAGTGTGAGCAATACATGGAACAAAAAATTCAATTTATAAAAAGCGAAATACCATGTTTTGAAATTTCTTAGTTTCCGGGAAACTTATAGAGCATACAAATTGTTATTAACGTCAAGAGTTAAGTCCTAATATTTCTTGCTAAAATCACATTAGTGTATCGTAAAGTAAGAGCCAATAAATGGCATTAATTCTTGTTTCGAAAATTTTACAGTATAGCAGTTCTAAAGTTGAAAGTATGTGCGCTAATTGCCCATTTAACAATAGTAGTATGTAGGTAAAGTTTTCTAATTGCTTGTTAATGATATCTAATGCAAATATAAACACAAATTAATTGTCCTTCATAAAAATAAAAGTAAAATCATCTATTTGCATCATTATATATTAAGACTAGGCATAATGAATTCAAATTTAAACATAAGAAGAGTTTTTATTGATCTTTGAAATTTTTATGGAGTATATATTTTTTTTAAATCGTGAAATGTCGAGGATCTTCTAACAACAAACCTGCAATATAAAGACAGAGGATCCCCACACAAATCTAAACCGTATTAAGTGACAAAATTTAATTTTACATTTGGACCTGATCGACTTAATACTTTAAACACACTCGTTTATACAGGGCAATGCATATTAAAATTATTTTTTAAAAAATGTTCTGGTAAGAAAAAGACAAGACGCTATTTTTATTGGAAATTTTTAAAAGATTCACTTCTAAAGTTAAAATCGTAAAAGGGTGGACTTAATACTGAGATGCAGATATTACACATAATATATACTTTTTCACTGGGTATCTTTTAATTCATTAAAAGCGCAGGTCCGTTAAACAGAACAAAATTTGTATATTTAGATGCATAATAATCTGAAGCGACCAATATTAAATTATCGTAAGTGGACTAAGACATATTTTAGAAACCCAAAATTCTTCGATTTTAGCATTTCCTTTATAGCACATATAGCATAGTAACCTTAATAACCATTTTTTTTTAAATACAGGGTTATTTAAATACGTATTTGAGAATCGTACGTATTTGACAATAACAATCTACACATATAATAACAGTTTTCTTTAAATAAGTATCAATAATAGGTAATCGACACAATTTTATTTCATAGCGGTTCTACAAAATCAGCATGCACTCATTCATAGAAACAGTACTGTGACCTATAACACAAGAATAACAACCGATGTGTTGGGCTCCGACCTTGATGATACAATTATTAATAGTCGGTGCGGCTCGAGGTACGCTAAATGAAATGTCTTAAAAGACACGGAAGAAAATAGAATCGTTGATTCCTGAATCATCTAACAAGTCAACAAAACTCCTCTCTTTTTAGTTTACACATCATAACATATCTAAATGCACACCTGTCTGAAATGCTATGTAATTAGAAAAAATGAAAACAACAGAAATTCGAACTTCTTTTAGTTTCAACACTCAAACATTGTCGCCCACATTCAAAGAAACGCAATAGAATTTTTAAAAGAGATTTGGCATCTATTTTTTTCTAGATGATGTCATTTTCAAATAGACATGAAAGTTATACAATTTGTCAATATTTCAAAGGCTAGTTTACCGCCCCCTCGTATTTTTTACTTTTTTAGTATATTTACCACGTATACCAAACTGTCTTTTTACTTTCAAGTATATCTAAGATATTGATTTTGTCGAAAATAGAACACCATCTTAAAGAAATCAGTGGCATGAAATCCATATATTTTCGGCTCTCCTGTACGACTTTCCTCTATTTGAAACAAACTTTGCAACCCATCTAAGAGGCTTCAAATTGCCTTCCCCGAAAGGGTTGGATCCTGTCCTATCTGTGATAAAAAAAAAACTTAGAGAAGGGGTAACGGTGCCTAATTTCAATTCCCTACGCGAGATGGCGATGCGATTCGTAAAAGTGAAACACCGGTTGATAGAGGGCAGTAGACAGTGGTGAGAAGTCCACAGACGTCCAACTAAAATAGACCACATCAGAGACGAGTAGGGTCAGGACTATTGTCTAGACAGGGATGGTTACTATGGTAACCACGTAAGGTGTCCTAAGAGGAGCAACAAATCATTGGCTTGTGAGATTATAATGTAACAATGTTTCAAAGAAACGTCCACAGGCTACTGTAATACTATTTACAAATCTTCTGGATTCCTCCTGCCTCACTTGACGACGCACAAGGAACCCAGAAGATTTCTAAATAGTAAAATGTAACAATATTCAAATTTTCATAATTACGTAATAAATAAAATAAACTAAATTGACACACTTTTAAAGTTTAGAATTAATGGAAACCACAACCGATGACTTTGAACGACTTCGGAAACCTACCATAGATAATATTAACCACAACCAGACAAAAGTTCAAGGTATTCAAACCGCCAAGTTCTGCACAAACTTCACAGTCTTGCGATACTTTTGCTACCAATCTTTGTAATAGCAATATCCAAACACACTTTTTCACTTTCAAAAAGTCACTTCTCACAAAAATTAAGCAAAAGTAGACGTAGTACAATGCGCACCTGAAATCGAGGTTAAAACTCCTCCACATTGTGACGTTGCCGTCATATAAAAAAAGAAATTTCTTACAAAAAAAAATTGTCATTTTATGGGTAATGTTAAACGAAATATTAGGTAACACTGCATCACACTAAATGAATGCCAACTTCCTTGTTCATTAATCAGTAATCACCGACATCTGTGTTTAGAATTAGAAGCCCCATCAAAACAAAAACTGATCAAAACTAGCCAAAAAATGTGGAGAATAAAAAATAAACAATATATAATCAATAGGAAGGCATACGGAGGTATGGTACCAAAAAATTCGGCAACCAAGTCAGACGCTTTTTGTAGAGTCGGCATTGGTAGAACGGCGAGAAAACAGAAATAATCGAAATAAACGTTACATAAATTATTGGTAATTTGTGCACAGTGAATAGTGTATATATAGTTGTAGCAGCTAGTGACTTTAATTGTTAATTTTATATATGTATTCTGAAATACCGACTGACACTCCGCCTACATTGTACAGTTGAACTACTATAAAATTAAGGACACACAAACAACAAACTTTGAAATACTAAGTTATTGATGTGTTTCCGTCAAAATCTCAACGGCAATTAAAATTCAGTTGTATTCATAGGTGATGTGATATGGCTTGTAGTATTAATTTTCAACTTATTTTTCAATAGTGCAATCTAACTTGCGCACGTTTAAACCTTTTTTTGCATTATTTATGTTAGTTTTACAGTGTAACGCGAGAGGGAAGGCAACTAGGGACTTTCGTGATATGAGGTTGTCTTTTTTGGTGTTTTTTTTTTTGACATGATGCATGCGGGTTTTAGAGGGAATCCGCAATCAAAAGTTGTTGAAATAAACGTTCCCAGAAGTAATTTTTGTATGATTAGCAGTTCTCGATATACCTATACCAGGAGGAATCGGTAATCAAAAAGTAGGAATTGCGTTGGGGAAAGAACGGTTTTCCAAAATAAATTAGATAAGAAAATTGAAAGCGAATAAATTCAGAAATTTTTAAATTATCAGGAAAGGAAGCCCATTTGGAAAACCAAAAACAGGGCTATTTTGTTAATAAATACAAGGAAGAATACAGGGGACCTTACCAAACAATGTAATTTGAAGAAACCATATTATTTGTAAGTTTTTGTGCAACATTTTCAGCCATTCTTAAATACCAGAGATTCGTTGACTATCATGTGAATAATTGATGAGATTAATGAGAATCTGAATATTTTTAATAAATATTAAACCAGAAAAGTTTTTAAATACAGTCTCAATCTCCTTGAGGAATAATTGGGTTAGACAACCGCATAATGAAAAAGGCGGCAGAAGATAGAAATCATCTAGCCAAGCGACAGAAAGGGTTGGTTGATTTCACATTTCGGCCACAATTTTTTTTCCCAACTTTAACTGCATTTGGAACAAAGAAAACTTCAATATAAACTAAACATCTTTGTTTGATCTATGGTTTCAACTTTGATCAGCTCTGGAAATATTATACCAAGTATACATAGTACTTTTCTTAAATTGCTGGAAGCCCTTAGGATATAAAGTTTTTTTTTTCAATTCTTGGTTTTCTACAAGGTACTTATAAATAAAGCAATAAAAGGAAATACCAATTGGTAATTTAGAAATTGTCACTTGTTACGTATAAAAAATTAAACAGTTCAATTCAGAACACAAATTTTCATCATTATAATTTTGTGTTAACTTTATTTTCTTTAGTAGAATGATAATCACATTTCATACACTAATAATAATGATAAAAGGTATCGCAAAGTAACTTATTTATAGAAATTGTAAGACAGGACCCAAATAACAAAAAAATAATTAATAAGCATTACAATATTCAGCGAGTAATGACAATTGTTGGGAATTATTTCGCCAACTTAAAAAAAAAATTATCACCATCATCGTCGGGAGCTAACAGCCATGTATTGAAGAATATCAATATCGAAAGGATCACTCAGATCTAAATCATCAGGGTCAAAATCATCATCAAAATCAACCTCTTCAACTAAGTCATCATTGAGCCAAAAAAGTATTTGATGTATCAATTCATGATCGAGATTGGAAGTTCTCCTACGACGTGGTTGTGGTGGGCCAACATCTAATACCTTACCACTTGGAAGTGCATGTAGATAAAGGCAGGTGTTTCCAAATGGGCAGACTCCACCACCCTTTCTAAAATACCGACAATCTATTTTCTGCATTCGAGATTTTTCTTTCGAAATAAATGTATCTTTTTCTTCTTTAGTTTCTAACCAAAATTTGCTGGGATAAACATAGTCTGGAACAAAGAATTTTCATAAAATATGTGGACAAGAAAATCATTTACTTTTATTTGATAATTAAGATCCAATATATAACTTACCAGATGATGTTCGACATTCAGGGCAGGCTTTGGACACCTCAAAATCAAACTCCTTACTCTGTCTCCATTTTCTTAGACATGTAAAACAGAAACAATGGACACAGTTTGGTAGGATTCCAAATGTTCTGTGTTTTTTGTTTGATTTTTGAAGAATGGTATCAAAACAAATTCCACAAGTTTTTTCTAAAGATTGTGTTCTCTGAACTAAAGCAACAGCTTCTTCAGCAGTACTTGTACTTGGACCAAAGTCTAACTCCTTCCTAGTTCTAGTCATAGCTACTGAAGAGTGAGATGGTCCCTCTGGTCCCTCTGATGAAGAACAAGGCCTACTAAACTGTTAGAAAAAGTCTTAGTTAAAAGTGTACCAGTTTCTATAAATTATATATCAAAAATCGATCCTTGCCCACATTAAACCCGGAATTTTAAAATAACTGCATGTGCTTTTAGTTTATTTTTTAGCATCAATCATCGATCAGATCAAACATGTATCACAAATTTTACTGTGATGACTAAAACTACCTTCGAAAATCTTGGATATAAGGATTTTAAAGTTAATAATAAACTAAAAAAATACACAGAACAAACTAAACCAAATAATCTTTACATATAGGGAGCTGTACTGTGCGCTTGTGTGTTCAATTTAGAATATGCTAGCTGTGTCTGGCCACCATACTATACAATTCACAAGGAAAGAATAGAGCGTGTGCAGCGTTAGTTCCTTAGAGGGATACATTTTAAATTGGGAATGTCATTTGAGGTAAATAAACTACGAGGAGATTATGAAGCTTTTGAATCTGACATCTTTGGAGAGTACTAGCATATTTTTTGACATCTCTACATTGTACAAAATCCTTAATAACTTGATCTTCTGGCATCCGTCGGTTTTCATGTTTCTCCTATTAATGCAAGAAATAAGGCCCTTTTTAATATTGATTTTCATAGGACCCACTATGGCATTAACTCACCTATGAATCGAATGTGCAAGCTAAGAAATTAATTTATTTTCTGACTCTCTCAGTCGTTTTAATTGCAAAGTAAAGAAGGCTGTCTTTAATCAACCCGCCGCCTTGTAAACTTGGTAGTTTAGCAACTCTAAGTGTTGGTGTTACTATTTTTCTTAGGTTAAAGTATACTGAAATGATATATGAAATTTTAATTTTAATCACCTTTCCGCTAGTTCTATATGTTTTTGCCTTGTTCCCTGGTGACCTTCGATCATATGATTGAAGATTTTGTGGCGACTTCCATTTGTTATGACTTTGCAGGTTATTTTCATGAATATTTCTACACTGATTTCCAAATCTACACATTCCCTTAATATAGAATCGACAAATAGATGTGGTGATGGGTGGTGGTGGTGATGGGTGATTTCGATTATCACTATATCCTTTCACTACATTCATTTTAATTTCAATATGTACTTGGCACCTGGGTGGGAAAATTTATATGTATATAAAATACCAGAAATATTTGAGTTAATTTTAACTTTTTTTAATGACTTCTATCTATTTCATAAAAGTTGTCATTGTTCCTGTGGGGCAGACCTGTAATAAAAAAAAATATTAGCACCTTATACCTAATAGAAAAAATCGAGACAGAGAACATCACAATGTAATCTAAAGTTGACAGCTGCTATATATATCCCAAATTTTTATATAATTAAAAGTGGGAATCTGGTCAAAACAAAAAATTGGCGGATTGAAAGATCATATCATTGTGTACATTAACATGTATACCACACATCCATTTGGATATCTAGCCGGCCATAAACTAACGAAATAACAGAGATACTTATAGCAGCTCAAATTGATAAATTCGATAATCAAATATATAAACCAGATGCCATTTAAAAATGGACGAAAAATTTTACATAAAGCCTTTAATTGTAGAAAGATATAAATAAACACCAACATACCTTCACAAAAACTAACAGTTTTTCGATCAGGAAACGAAAGCCGATTTTCTATAACGAACTTTGAGAAAAACTTCTAAATATTCTTGGTGCAAAAAAATACACGGAGTAAAAAAAATATAAATCTGACCACAAAAACAAATCAGGTACGAAGTAACTTTTGGTATTATATGCAGCTTAATTCCAAAATAAGCAAAATTACAATTGGGAAAAACATTCGCCACTGTTTGACATAATTGAGTGCACAGAAATCAAATGGGTGGAAAGGGAATAAGAGTCACAGTATACTAAGAAGAAGAGTGTGGCAATTCTAAGGTTTATTCGTGAGTACTTAAAGGTAGCCATTTATATTCTTCCCTTTCATTCTGTGGACGCTGAAAATATACATTTAAAGGCGCAGAAGAAAGGAAAATTTTATCGATTACATCAAAGATTGTTACCATAAGTCATTTATATGTCATAATGTTTTCATAATAATGAAAATAAATCTTAAAATACTTTGAATTTCTAAGACATGTTTGAAAATTTAATGTCTTCCTTAACCTACTTCGAACGTTTTTGAACAACTCAGTTCATCTTCATTGACTACTAACTTGCATTGTGAAACAGCCAAATATTAAATAACAACAATTTTCTCGTTTAATCGAGAAAATGTAACAGTTTGGCAATGTTGTGCGGCTGTGTTTCATTATACTGTTTTTCATTTTGTGATCACAGTTAAATATTCCCCTTGTTCTATACAGCTGAACTGCAAAATAGCTCAAATATTACAGACGTTTAGGTTGTGCCTTATGAATCAAATCAAGAATTTCGGATTTCCGAATAATTGTGGAAAGCTATGTCAGATATTTCGCTGCCTAAGTAGCGGTGCTGAGAATAACATCCTAAAGTCGATAAATAAAGAGTATCTGTATAACACAAACGAACTTAAAAATATCGAGGAGAACATTAAGAAGCGAAAAGGTGTGGGAAATATAAAACTAGTTGTTGAATTAAAGAATAAACTTAGCAATCTACACCGAAATGATCAAAAATTTGCTGAAATTACTAATCAATTAATCAAAGAATTGTTACTGATTCCAAACAAAACACATCCAAATGTTGTCAACATGGGTAATAAACCCAAGCAGTTAAGGCAAGTAGGAAAATTTCCTGAATTTAATTTTAAGCCAAAGGATTTTCATGATATCACAAAGAGACTCAATATGGTTAGAACAGAGCATTTAGGCAACTTATCTGGAAATAAAAGTTATTACTTACTAGGAGAACTTGCAGAATTAGAGTATAGCATTATAAAATACTTTACAAACAATTTATTAGAAAATGGTTTTGAATTGATATTAGTACCTGATATATTACCCAGATCTATCATTGAAAACTGTGGTATGAACACAAGGGGCGAAAGAACACAGGTCTGTAGAAACATATTTATACATTTTTGTTAAATTACCTAGTTAATAAGTTAGAAATGAAATTCTTGCAGGTGTACACTTTAGATCCTAATTTACACAATGCAGACTTATGTTTATCAGGTACCTCAGAAATAGCTTTAGCCGCTTATCTAGCTGATACAGTTTTAGAATATGGAAATCTACCTTTAAAATTGTGTTCAGTTAGTCGGTGCTACCGTGCTGAAACATCCAGCATTGCAGAAGAAAGGGGAATATTCAGGTTAGAATTAGAATTATCACTGCTAAGTACACTAAAATTGTTTACATTTGTCAAGAATAATAAATATTAGTACAATTTTAACAAAGTTATTAACAACTGATAAATAACTATGTATTTTATAGTCATGTTTCCTACAGGAATTAGAAAGTCAAATTTAATACAAACAATATTAAAATGGGGACTGGAATTATCTACATTTAGAATAAATAGGTTAATTATTTTATTTAAAAAAGCAATTAATTTAGACTGTGGTATTGCGAAATTTATTTAACCTTATAATTTATTTTTTTTTATCTCAGGCTTTGGTTCTCTATTGAAGTTTAAAGGCATGATAATAAGATCTATTTTGGAATATTTGACAGTAGTTTTAGATGTATTTGCATTGAAACTATATGTATATATGTAATTTTGAAATAATTTTATTTAAAACTAACAAAAATAAATCAAATATTTCTTAGGGTTCATGAGTTCACAAAAGTGGAGATGTTTATTGTCACAATGCCAGAGCAATCAGAGGATGCATTAGAAGAACTGAGAAATAACCAAGAAAAATTGTTTGAATCTCTTGGTTTGCACTTCAAAGTGCTCGACATGCCTCCACATGAACTAGGGGCACAGGCTTATAGAAAGTATGACATTGAAGCATGGATGCCTGGAAGAAATATGTATGGTGAAATTTCCAGCTGCTCTAATTGTACAGACTTTCAGTCAAGGAGACTGAATATTACTTATAAAATGCCTGATGGTTTCGTAGAATATGTACATACCCTAAATGGAACTGCCTGTGCAATTCCAAGGTTATTGATAGCCTTGGTAGAAACAGGTCAGGACTCAAAAGGTTTCATTTCTGTTCCTAATGTGCTGCAGAAGCACATGAAGGGTAAAAGTGTTATAGGAAAACAAAAAAAGATTCCTGAGCTAAAATTGATTAAAAATAAGAAAAAATGATTTTTTGTTTTATTTTGCTGAAAATAGCCTGAAACTGAATGATTTTTTTTATTTGAGTGCCGAGGTCAAAAATATATTAAAAGATACTAAAGGGGTAATAAATTTGAGTTTTGCATTTTTTTAGGTCACTTATGGCAACTGTCATATATATCAGGATATCCTGAAAAATAATTTGCTTATTGGGTACAACTTCTAATATAGCTTTTTTTTTACTAGTTCTCTAGGCATTTTCCAATTTATTGTACTTTTTCTTCGCCAAAAATCAGAGAAGCTTGCAATTAATTGCTGTGAATTTTATATAACTTCAATACCTTCTTAAGTATTTGAAAAATTAAAAAAACCAATTTATTTTCACTGTGAGAGTCCAAAATACTATAATAGACAGGACTCTACATTAAAAAAAAAAAGACAACACTATTATATAAAAGTAGTTTTTAAAAGGAAGGATAATAACCTGAAAGTAAAACTTTTGAAATTCACATATATGTACCACCATCTTCCAGGCATGATTACACAACTATTTAATTTTTCATTGTTGTATTAGAAAATAAGTAGACAATATAAAAAATTAGATTATAATGACATATAAAAATAAAAAACAATGTATATTGCCACATTGCGCATCAAAGCGGTCACAATTGTCATCCTAACATTCATTATCTAAAACTACTTAGTATACTAATAAAATGCGTGATATGGCACCAATTTTAACATTGAAAATAAAGGCTGCTTACATAATAAACATAATACGCGATATAAAAACCATAAAAACAATAATGATTTTTTCAAATAGGCCGATTAAAAAAAAAGTGCAGTTTCCATTTTCACTCTAAAAGAATTTGGAGTATTGCACAAATTGGGAAGCAACTGATACCTTAATCCTAAAAAACTATATCAAATAAAAACAAATAAAATTGATGCTCAAGAAATCAAAAGAAACAAGGCACTTGAATCTTATACTATGCATGTTAAAAACGCAATAGGAAAATACTATTGTACAAAAAACTGGGAAGACTGCATAGCGCAAAAATAGTTTTTTAATTTTATACTAATCATCACAGATACACCAACAAAAAATTGTGGTTGTATAGATGGAGGATCCAAAACTGGTAATAACTTTGTGGGGAAACTTTCAGACACATTTGTTAGTAATTTAGAGCAATTGCAGATCCTTTTTATTTCAAATATCTTTGAAAATAAATAAAATGATTAATTTTTGAGAAACTTTAACACCGAAAATTTGTTAGAGACAAAGGTCAAAAATCACATACATGAAAAGAAATTCTTGGAGATCCACGGCTTTCAGTAACTAATGAATATGCCTAAAACTATTCCCTCACATCAATTTTATATAAATTTATGATAAAAATTTGGGTTGAATAGTTCAAATATTTTCATTGGAATAATTATTTCAAAGGCATTAAACAATAGGGGAAATTCAGCAATCCATTCAACAAAATTTCTGTATGCAAATTGCGTATCAACTTTTAGAAAAAGTTAACTTTCCTAGCTTAACTAACTACAACTACAACAAACTACTATGTACTTATAAATAAATAAACAAATATTAATGCGAATGAAACTTCAAACAACTAGACACCTGTTAGTAGCATGATTTGGAAACTATAACTTGCTTTTTATATTTAAATGTTTTTCATGGAATAACTACATAATGCTTTAAGGAAATTAACAAATAAATCTGGCATGGTACAAATAGTTTACCAACGTGATCCTTCCTGCTTACAACAAACATTACATATCTCCCCTATAGTTAAATGTTTTTGTAATAATATTTCTACTTCACTTAAACTACATGTCCTAGTTTAACAACATAAATGCATGATCCAAAAAATATATATCCAAAATACATATAAAAATAGTATATTTTTCCTAAATTCTAAAATAAGCTGGAATCAGAAAAACGTTACTGGGTCTAGTTCAAATTTTCTGAAAAAAAAAAATCATTTCAAAATTCTGCAGTTTGTTTTCCCAAAATTCATGTTATCAATGAAACGGAAGATAAAGCAAACAAAGAAAATTTGTGTGTGGAATACGTCCAAAATAGAATATTTTTTCAAAACTTACGTTTTAGGGACTGGATATCTAGCAAATTTTTCTTGAATGGCAAATCTCCACCCGAGCCATTATTCTGATTGCGGTAACACTGCGCCTCCAATAAATCCTCGGCATAATTTAATATTTTTAACAAATTTTGCTTTCCCACTATTTTGAGCTACAAAAATAATTATAATTAATTTATTAACACCACAACCCTAATTAAACATACATTCACAGAATATTCCTTAAACTCTTTCTCTGGATTCATAATAATTTTACCGGAGGAAGTATTGCCGTCAAGTTTCCTTTTTTTGCCTTTCGGTAAACCGCCATACTTATCTTTATGATGCTCTTTTTCTTCTTTTTCCTTATCCCTTTTGGGGCAAGCACAAATTCTAACATTTAAACATTTTCGGCCAACCACTTTTCCACTGAAATAAAATAAGGTAACGCATTTGCCAATAATAGAAACCAAATACCTACGATTCACTCTCAAGAGTAAAAATAACTTCTATCGCTCGCCGATTCATTCCAGGACTAGCGCATGAACTTTTGCATACAAATTGAAACATTTCCCTAACACTTTCTGATCCAATCTGAGGTTGTGAAAATGGAAATACTAGACTTAGCCTTTCACTGTAGTCTTTGTTTCCCAAATATTGACATTCGCTGTTGAGACATCGGATAACATGAGATCTGACATGATCAGGTATTCCTACAAAACTCAAAGGAATTGAATATTGGTAAAAAGTTGTAAGAACATAACTTCATGCAGAAAAAGGTCTATTATTCTTAAACCCTGCAACTTAATAAATTCCTAAAAATAATGTATTTATTTTTAAAAAAAGGTGACAAGAGTTTATTTATACAAAATACAAAATATTTTTTTTATATTAGGGAATCATTCAATTTTAAACTTACCCTTATTTGTAGGGTCCATTGGGTGATCATGCATAATACATCGATGAACAGTTTCCTGAGCATGCTGAGGTAAACTATACTGGGGTGTTATTCTAATATATAAAACTTCATTGGTTGGTCGATCTTTAATTTTAAAATCAACTGGAAACTGATGGCCCATGTCCATAAATACTTTATTTAGTACAGGCGAGTACTACAAATTTTAAACAAAATAAGCACACAAATTAAACATTACATGTTAAAATTACATGTTTAAAATAGACTTACCACCCATGGGTTTTTAGATTTGTGATTTGGAATCACAGTTACCTCAAATTCGTAAGGGCCACTGTACTCTTCATTAGATAAAACATTACTATTATTTTGAGCAATAATTTCAGTCTGAGGGAATTGCTTTTGAGCAATTGGTGCTTGAATATTACTAAAATCTTGTTTGTAATCCTCAACAAGATAAGCTGTTGTTTCATCCTAAAATTATTCAAAAGATTATTAAATGAAAGAAAGAAAGAAAAGAAATATATTAAATTTGACATTAAATGTTTGGAAAAAACTTACCTTTGTCAAGAGCATTATTTTCCTTTGGTTTATTAATGAGTTTTTAAGTTATGAAATTTCGAAAACAACTAAAATTACTAATAATTAATAATAATTTAAGATCACTGTTACTTTGGTAAAAGAATACAAAACCTCTGTGCGTGAAGCACACACAGAAATAAATTCCAGGCGGGATAAGCAACCATATAAATAGCGTCAGCTTTGCAAGCATAGACATGCAAGTCTGTGCCTGATATAATTTAAACACAAAAGGATGAGTCACACCCTTGAATTCTCATTACTGATATTTTGTAATATTATGAAAGCTTCACGAGTTTTTTTAGGGTGGTAGATGAAAGGCAGAAAAAGTCACAATTTTATACCAAAAATGGTACTTTGTATACACTCAAATAAGATGAGTTTGAAATGCATATTGAAGGAGAGGTTGAAATTTTTGTCATTATATTAAAATATTTATATGCTTATTACTAACTTTATTTTATAAGAAAAATCCCCTCCACTATAACAAAATTATATGTCACCATTCTCAAGAATACATAAAAATTTTCACACAGAATAGATTGCAGTGTTTTTGGTTTGTCGGGAAGTAAGCAATAAAAAAACTACAAATACCACACAATTAAAACAAAAGCAGTTTTGATTTTCCAAAGAAATCATAAACGACATACTGTGCTCCATTGCTTCTAGGTTACTTGCAACTGGTATATCTGAATAATAATACATAATACATGGCAATGCAACTACTAAAAGATTAAAATTCAAAATATTTCTTTTTCAGAGTTTAAAAATGACCCAATTATTCATAGTTTTTATGCACTTAATTTGGTAAGCTATTCGAATGAAAATCGCCAAAAACAATTGCATAAAATTCTTGTTTTTAACAGAGTGCCTCAAATCAAACATAATTCTAAAATATATCCCAAGTGGAAGTTACTGTGTAAAAAACTTCAAAAATTGCATGTCAATATGAAGCAACAATGGCAACCTCTAGTTAAGAGCTATATTTCCTTCCACATAATTTTCTTAAGCAAATATGACAATGTAATAGTGGTTACATCAACTTACGTCTAGCATAAAAGATTGTTGTTCAAGAATAGCATGCATCTCCTCTGAATTGCTAAAAAAGTGATCAACTACATGATACATTCATATTTGAAAAAAAGATTCTTACATGGGGACCTGGTCTAATAGCTCTTGATGCTCAGATTCGGTCAGAATCTCTGAGAGAGGAAATGAACCAAACTCTTGAGATCTGCTCATTGTCCTAGAAAAAATTAAAACTAATGTTAAACATTCATATTATAGGGGGTAACGTTTGTTATAGATTCCGCAACTGAAAAACAAATGTATTCATCCCTTCAAAGGACAATATGCGATATTTTAGGATAGCAAAATAGATAGACCTAATTCTGTTTCTATTGTAAGAAGGGAACATGGAACTTTTCGGTTATAATGATATGGTTAATACATAACGCTAACCTTTGAAAATTTGGATAGTTAATTGCCGGTCTATTGTTGACAACAATCAGTTTGTTGTAATAATCAGTTAATTAGCAAGTCCGGGTTGCTTCCTCCGAAAAAGCAACAGGTACGGAAATATTTAAACTATTCAAACCATTTTTTAACCACCTTGCACTTGTTAAACACCACCGCCGCGCTGAAAAAATGCCTTTTGACAGCATAGTTGCCAATTGTTTTCATATTTTTTTTATTTCTGTGAACCGATATGAATATTTTATGTATATTTGAAAATTTTCCAAACATTGCACATAGATATAAAGAAGTTTTTGAAAACATTGACCAAATAACAAATGAAGTACCGAAAATTTGATTCTTTTCGTTGTGGTCGCAAAGGCTGATTTTGATGAATTTTATTACTCATAAACGTGCAGATGATAATAATACAAACAGAATTTTTGAAAATGGTTTTGATGCGTATTTTTGAATTATAATTCCGTAGATATAAGCGTCAAGCGTCAATTCATGACGTCATCGAAAGTGTGCTTTAGGGCTACTTGACGACTTTCTAATAACTAATTTGCCGCTTATTACGTTACAGCCATTTATTGTATATTGTAATTTCACAATGACGACTTTTTATTAAGTCATGAAATTGAGGCATTACGTCTATTGGTCTTTTTTGTTCCGACTCCTCATTTTAAATTTCTTTTGGAACATGTTTTGCATGTGCTACGTAATACTTTGGTGCATTTAATGTTGTCAACTTACCATTTATGAAAAAATTTCACAACTCTGGTAGAAAATTCCTTTCGTCGCTGTGGATGGTGGAGTACCAAGTGTTTTTATTTAATTGTTAAAAAATGGCAAGTATTGCTGAAAAATATGTCCCTATCAACATCTGCAACAACTAATGCCCCAAGAATTTTAATTTAAAAGTTATAATTTGCAATGCTTGTTTGGATGATTATGGATTAAATTTAAAATACAATGTTAACCTCTTTAGCTGCGATTTGTCAACGTCAAAATAAGTCTATACATATTCTACAAAAATGTATTTTATTTCTGTTTCAAATGCATTATTTGCAGATAATAAATTCTGCAACTATTTGAAATTTTGTTTCAGGGATTTGTGAAAGTAGTCAAGAATAAGCAGTACTTCAAGAGATACCAAGTAAAATTTAAGAGGCGTCGCGAAGGAAAAACTGATTACTATGCTAGAAAACGCTTAATTGTTCAGGATAAAAATAAATACAATACACCTAAATACCGACTGATTGTGCGTTTATCAAACCGGGATATTACCTGCCAGGTTGCATACTCTAGAATCGAGGGTGACAAGATTGTATGCGCCGCTTACTCTCATGAGTTGCCCAAATATGGAGTCAAAGTGGGTCTTACTAACTATGCAGCAGCTTACTGCACTGGATTGTTATTGGCTCGTCGTTTGTTAAAACAACTCGGACTTGATAATCTCTATGAAGGAACAACTGATGTAACTGGGGATGAATACAACGTTGAAGCTGTTGATGATGGTCCAGGTGCATTCAGGTAAAATGCATGGATTAATTTTTTTTAAGTAATGCTGTGCATATGTCATTTTATTTTTAACGTACTATATACATATTAATCTTATGATTTTCAATAATTTGCATTTTTATATGTTTGAGATTTGTATGATGAATTTATGACACATGCGCGTCATATGACAATAAAATTGAGGGCCTTATTGAGAGTTACTGTGTGAGTTTTTTGCACATTATTTCTTGATTTTGCTGGATATTTTAATAATAATGATTTTACTGTGTCTCTGATTAGCATGTAATATTACTGCCTCCGTTATCCTTATTTGTGCAGGTATATCTATGTATAATAATTTAGGTGTTATCTGGACGTTGGACTCAATCGAACCACAACAGGTGCACGTGTATTTGCTGCAATGAAGGGGGCAGTGGACGGTGGTCTCAACATTCCCCATTCGACAAAACGTTTTCCAGGTTTTGATGCTGAATCTAAGAGTTTTAATGCTGAGGTTCATAGAAACCATATTTTTGGAATCCACGTAGCAGACTACATGAAGTCCTTAGAGGAAGAGGACCCTGAAGCCTTCAAAAGGCAGTTTAGCCAATACATCAAACTCGGAGTCACCGCAGATAAGGTTTTTAGGCAATTCTTATTTTTAAAAAAGCAGTTTCTAAAAAGTTTGCATTTTAGATTGAGGAGATTTACAAGAATGCCCATGCGGCAATTCGCGCTAATCCGGCACTCGAGAAGAAGGATAAAAAGGCACCAGTTGCAGGCCAAAAGAGGTGGAACCGTAGAAAACTTACTCTGGCTGAACGCAAGGACAGAGTGGCGCAGAAGAAAAAATCGTTTTTGGCCAAGCTCCAAGAACAAGAACCCTAAAAGGAACATTTTTTTTCATGAATATAAGTGAATGTGTAATAAATAAAATTCACATTTAGTGCTTGTTTTTTTTTTCTCTCTTTTCCTTTATATGTATTTTGCCAAACAACAAACAGCAATTTATTATTGAATTGGTGTTACAATATTAAGGTAGTTTTTCTTTTTTTTTGTTTGTTTTTTTTTCTAAATTGGCATTAACTTTAGCAGTCTTGAAATTTTTTGGATTTTTTTCTTTGCACTTTTTTTTTAAATACGCTAGGATTAATTAGCCAAAGCTGCAAGGTAACCTGTTACTGTATAGGAAATTAAAATAAACGTTTTGGTTGATGGTTTTTTTAGTTTCTAGACGTCCTATATAAAATTGCAATTACCAAGTTTATGCAAAGTAAACAGACCTTTTGATAAGCTTCCTAGTAAGTGGAGTAGCAGATTTTCACAATAAACATATTGTAGAAATTTTAGGTTCAGCTATTAAATCAGACATTGATTGTAAATGTATGTCTATGAAAGTTGGGGCAGGGCTTGTCACTTAGTAATCAATAATTTAATTTAAGTAGATGCTTTAAATTATATTTTCAGCATTATTCATTTTCATAGTGGGACACACTTTATAGACAATCTGAAAAAAAAAACAAGTTAAAGATAAAGATTTTAATAATACTCTGGTGTTTTACAACAGGGAAAGAGACACAAAATTCCGGTTACAATCTCTATTAAGCATAGTCCCAACTGTATGGCACAAATTATATACTCAAAACGCAACACCTCGCTTTGCCATATCATCAAATACAAAACACCAACAACAGAGGGTATTGTAAGTAACACCGCTAGAATGATTAATAAATCTGGAAATTAAAAAATAGAATAGTTGAACCAAAGATCGGCAAATCAACTTACTTTTTTCTGTTAGATTTCCTCTTCTTGCTATAATTATCCTAAAAATCTCTAGAATGCAGAGCGAAATTAAAACACCAAAATCTGTAGGAAAGTGCCCTAATTCGTCACTAAAGTTGATGTATTTTACAATATTCATTCCTATTTCGCAAATCGCGAATAATCCGAAGTAATAAGAATTGAGGTACAAAAGAACTTCGAACGTTAAGGAAGTGTTAATTTTGCAGTTGCTGCCCATTTTGTTTGTATTAAACAATACTTTTAAGGGTCGTTGCACATTAGCGCAGATCAATATTTCGAAATCTGCCGCCTGACAATTTGACTCAAACTCTTTTACGGTTCTTCCTCTTTTTAAAGTGTGATTGGCAACCCACAATGCACAGTAAGAAAAGGCAAATTATTATATTATTGTAAATTTTAAAGTAAACAAAAATAAGTCTGTCCCTTTGCTTTTTTTCCTTTTTTGGGTGCAATCATGAACGAGTAACAGACTTGCAACTTTAAATTTTGTTGACCTTACAGTTGTCTGTCGTTAAAACAGTGAAGTACAAGTTCAAATTTTATCAGCTTACACCAAAAAATTGTATCCATACTTTTGACACTTATGGAATGATCTAACCAACTAACTAAAACTACCTGTTTATAGCGCCTCGAAATTATTATTCCAATTTCTGTACCCACAAATGTATCACTACTGCTGTACTTTTAATTGCTATCCGATTTTATAAATTTAAAAATTTCTTTTGCAATTATGCATTCGGTTTTTGGGCAAGTTTATATTTTCATCAGAAATTTCGTGGGTTTGGCACGACAGTAGCGCAGCGGATTGCGCGCTTAATATAAACAAGTGACTGAAGACCCAGGTAGCAGAGGGTTGTCAAAATGACGTCATTAACTAGTCACCAAATGACGAAAATAACATTATATATGACGTCACAGGACATGAATTTTACTTACTAATGTTTCAGACGAATTATGTCATTTAAGTGAAGCCTTTTTACGACAACCTAAAATCTGATTTTGGTCTTTACCGATCAAAATATGATTTTTAAATTGTTTTCTTTATGCAGTGGGGAAAATCGAAAGTAAATCACGTAGGAACTGCCGCTTTAAATTACATAGAATATCTTTTGAGGTTGAGGACAATGGAGAATTATAAGTAATGAATAAAGATGAGCCTTTGTTTAAAAAAAAAACAATGGGTCTTTCATTTGATTTTTTCACGAAAATTAGTATTTTTCATTTTGACTGACCCTGTATAAACGATTCGAACTCACTACAAGACAAGTATAGGATAAATGATTATACCACTTTATAAAATTGTTGGCATAATAAAATTACAGCTGTCCGAAACGGCGTCAAAAATATAGGGTATTAAACACAAAAAATGACCATAAATCCGAAGACGCTCAGTATAGACCATAACATCTCTACATTGGGTGATGGAATATAAAAGGGAGTATCTATTAATGCCAGGGTGTTCCATTAAAAAATATAAGTTTAATTTACAACATATTTATGAATCACCCTGTATATTTAAAAATAATTTTAAATTGTTTCTTTTAATCTCGTCTACAACTTTTGTATTTATCGTTTTTCTCTAAAACAAATAGTAAACGAAATATATTACTTTGACGCACTATTTAGACACCCTCTATAGTTTTAAATAGAAGAATTTGATAATAATTTAATTATGTAATCATGTAATATTAATAAGACATCCTTTTTTTCACGTCAATTTGAAGTATTTTTCGGACCACTGACGAGCAAATGACGTCACTTTGACGAGCTGCTGCCTGGGGAAGTTTATCAACATGTTTCGTGTACGTATGTACGTTTTGGGTACATTTTTGAAAAACAGTACGAACACCCTTGTTGAATCAGCGAAGCGACCGTCAGAATTAAAAAAATGTCAAAATACCGCCCGTGGCCAAAATCTACGAAAAACATTCAATAACTCTTAAGTCAGTGATTATAAAGTACGAGGTATGTCTGAAGTGGCTCGCGGCCTTCCCAAATAGCACAAGGACGTCCGTAAAACGTCCTCGGGATATCCGACGGGACATAGCGTATATCCTAGGGATATACTGTTTCAGCTAAGGGACATCCTTTAAGACGTCGTCTCATGGATATACGATGTAACTAATTGGAACGTCCACAGCATATTAGATACGGATGTCCGTAAGTTGTTTGTTAGGACATACTAAGGACATCCAGTTATACTGGTTGAGACGTCGTTAGTATATCCGACTGAGAGGACATAGGATCTTATATAGATATACCAGTGGACCTTGCTTATTAGGTTATTTCCAACAGCCTATGAGAAATACTGGAAAGGTAATGTCCAGTAGTCCAATTGGTTATACGACTACAAAAATTCTATCCCAGTATCTGGTACTCGCGTGTGATGGAATTAACCTATTGGGTATGGTTGGTGTAGTTATCACTGGAATAGCAGGCGATGTTTGAAATGCACAAGTTTTTTCCAATTAATATTTAATCTTTAATTTTGTTATTGATGGTAAAAGTGAGGGACTGCCGATTGATACCATTAATAAAATACATTATAGACACATTTTGTTTTATTGCAGATATGAAAAATTGTAGGTACATAATATAGGAAAAATATAGAACAAACTAACCTAAAGTATCTTAAATATAGAGTATATCATGAACTAAACTATAAAAGAATAACTAATATTTGACAGGTTTTCTGTCATTCTTTGGTGAACAAACCGCTATTGAATTCTTATATTCTTTTGATGTTTGTGACGTGTTTGCCTTCTTAACCGTATATGAAAATATTTTAGTTTTGAGAAAGACAGGTTTTATATATCTGTAAAATAAAAAGAATGAGACTGCTATCTTGTATGTTTAAAAAACAGATGCCTACATCCGCTTTTTACCTAAAGGCTTCATTTGACTCTGATACTACTCTCATAAAAGTGATCTCAGATGCTAATCTCCACGATGATGTAGGTGCATATAGATTTGTGTATTTCATTTCATTAAAGACAAAACTCATTAAACTCCCATTGGTAAACTCTCATTCATCAGCGCGCAGAAAAAAAACTAGAACAAATATGACTTTTTCAGTTTGACAGTAAAAGCCTATTTTCATGCAGTTTATTTTGTCAACCTAAAAATTTTCGTAGTTTATTTTCCAAAACTGTACTATATAATTAAAAATATGATTTTGTTCTGGGGGATCTTCTCTAACATTGCTTACTTAAATAAAAAATTTGTTTAGTTTTGTATCCCTAAATATAACTGCTCAAAAAACATGAAAAGAAAGTGGATTTTATTTTTGTTTTCAAAAACAAAGCAATAAGATACGAAAAGAAGTCTACAATCAAAGCAGATATGTAATCTAAAACGTATAATATAGGTATATGGAATAGAAATCACTCCTTAAAAAAGTATCAATTTATTTTTTTTATACTTTATTTATATTACACTTACGTCCTATTTATTTTTAAAAAACATAACACCTACTTACCAAATATTATTTTTGCGAATTTTATTTTTAACATTCCTCCTTTTTCTTCATGCCCAACCAATTAAATTTAATTGCAAGTTCATTTGAAATCAGCGGGGTCAGAGTTTGTTTTACAAACTCATAACTGCTGCCGCCGCTTGATCTTGCTATCTGCCTGGCCTAGCAAAATAATAAAAAACAAGGTATGATGTGGGTAGACTACAGAACAATGGTTCGTTCAGGTTAGAATTTATCAAATCTTATGTTATATATTACCATAAATCTTTACTCACATGAATTATTAGTACTTCAATAATAATAATATCATAAAAAAATAACGGAAATGAAAGCACTGAAAACAGTAAGCACAGCACACAAAATACTCAAAATAGACGCCAAGTCGCCGTATACCGTATACCGCCAACAAAAACAAGGCTAAAAAGATGGCGGACGACAAGACGGAGAAGAAGTCGACGAGACTCGAGCCAGTCCGGCGCGGCACGACGCAGTTGAACAGTGTTGTCAAATATATTATTTTTACGTTTTTGTAATTTTTTTACTTGGATGAGTCCGTATTTTCAGTGGTATTTTTATTAAAAAACCGTTTCTTGTCTCACTCGTGTCAAAAAATAATAAAAACAAGTTGATTTTAAAGGTTTGATTCCGTTTTTTTTTAGGACCTGCCAACACTGACGTTGTTGTAGATGTGCACAAAAAAGTTGCCAAATAAAATGTCTCCCAAAACACCACAAATCCAAAAAAAATGAGTATTTTCTTTCTCAGTTGAAAATTTAACTTTTTATGTTTCGTTTTGTTTCACGACTTTTCACTTTTTTCCCTTATTATTCTAATGTTTCAATTATGGCACGATTGGATATCCTCAAGCCATCTATGGTATATTGCAAAAAAAAAGTTTTAGTTTACACATTGATACAGTTACGAAGCCAGTATTCAAGAGTAAATTTCTTTTTTTTTTATTTAACATATCCTTAACTTGAAGCAATGTGGGTAATACGGCCCAGGCAGGTATTAGTTAAGCCTTATTACTCACCATTTTCTTTACAAAAATATAGCTTGAACGTCAATTGGCCACAGCACATGATGGAAGAAGCACTGTTCCTTGTGCGTCGAAGAAAATCTCAGAGTTGTGCGGAAACTAGTTGTGGTATACCAAGGCGCGCCTCTAGGAACCATTTGGAAGCCGGAGCTGTTAAATAATTCTGGAGACAAGGCCTACCTTGAATGAAGTACCAGAAACTCACTTAGTTAGGAAAATCATTAAATTTTCTGGCATAGGATTTCCCCAAAGGTACTAAATTGGTGGATGTGACTGGTATAAAGCATTTATGAAGCGACACATTTCCTTATCTCAACGAAAGGCCCTGCCGATGAATCCTGCAAGGGCGGCAAAGCTTAATCCCTTCATTTTTAACGACTGTTTTCAAAAACTTGATAATGTTCTCGATAAATATTTCTTCAAACATCAACCGGCAAAGGTATACAACATGGTTGAAAAAAGATGAACATTAACCCTGCATTAACAGAGAGTCATTGCGAAAAAAGGTAACAAGCGACTCCACCTGGTTGTACGATTGTTACCTGCGCAAACGCATTAGGAAATGATATTCCACCCATGATATTGTTTAAAGGCTGAAACCAACTTTTAGTGATGGATTATCACCGGGATCTCAAGTGAAGATGTCTCCAAATCATCATGACCACTTGATATATTGAATGGCTCAGTCATTTTTGCAAATTTATGCAGCCGCCAGTTCTCTTAATATTTGACGGTGCTGCGTCACTTCTAAATGTTTCAATTGTTCAAATACTACACATGAACTCGAACCCCTCAACAAAAGCATGTTTCGTTCTTTCGAAAATTTGTGGGATGAGGAGTTGCTGCATTATTGGGATAAATTCTCAGATAGGAAAATGCACAAAGAGAGATTTTCTGAAGTTTTTACGCCAGTTTGAGGGAGATTTATAACCATCCATAATATTACACATGGATTCAGACCGACAAGGATTTACCCATTGTAATTCTTCGATGCATGATGATTGGAGGGGCTCACTGAAGATGATCCGGAAGGTGTTACATGTTTGCAGTGCAATGAGTAGTTTATTTTCCATTACACAAATAAAGGGGACGTACCACCCTCTATAGTTGGAAATAAGGAAGAATACCAAGTTTACGTTTAATTTTTTTAAAGGAAAACTGTTTCATATTTTGTTAAATTTTATTTTTTTATGTGTTCGTACAAGAGAACTGTTTTAAATAAAAATGCCAGTTTGAAGATTTAATTTAAATAAATATTTTTTGCAACATTTTTGTTTATAGTGGGCCTTAATACCCCCGGGGACTTTAATTTATATATCCTATTACTAGCTTCATACTATAAGATCAAATCACTACCATTTCATGTACATATTAGACGAAAATATTATACACGTGACTCGCACTTCTTAGATGTTGAATACGAAATTTTTGAATTGGGCGAATATCAGCTGATTCGGCGTTTATTTAGCAAAGCGTGACATTACTAAAAAATATTTTAATATTTTGAAGAATGTTTATTAAAGTAATATTTATACAGAGTAATTATTAGTTACTTTTTCCAATATGTATTGCATTCCTTTGGGATTATCCGCAGGTACCTGCAATAATATCAAATAAGTAGAGAGTAGTTAAAATAATATCAAAATTTGCATTAGCTCACCATGTGCCCTGCTCGTAATACCCAGTAGAAAGTAAATGTTCCGTAGGATTTTTCATATCCTTCGTAAATGCCGTTTACTGAAAATCCCCGCCTTGGTGCTTTCAAATATTGACTTGCATTTTTCCACTTTAGATCCTCAACCCATTTCACGGTACCTGCAAATATGTGGCATTATCGAGAGTTTGATATCTTATGGTTATTGTTTCTCATTGTCACACACATAATTAGGATTTTTACCTGGAGTAGCGACGATCAAATCTAATTGGCCACTAAGGACGTTAACTGAGATGGTAGTTTCATTTAGAAGTCTTTCAACCACGTCAGTTACAGGTTTCATGAAATCTCCGGTTAAGAAATCAAACACATATATTTCGAAGTCACCCCAGTTCGAGGTAAGATTTAGTGCATTTTTAACATTTTTCATTATACCATCAAGAGAGTCAACTTCTCTTAGCTCTCGTTTGGCGATTCTCCTAACTGGAACGTAGCAACAAAAACATGATAATTTTATTCTAAATAATAAGTATTAATTTAATTGGTAAAATTGTGAATTATACAATGGACCATGTTTAAAAGTAGATAAAAACAATTTCCTTCTTTATATTTTTGTAAAATTTTATTAAACGCACTTACGAGGGTTTTGCCTCTTCAGTTCTTGTACATAGTAATCATCGATTTCCGTGAGAATGTTGTAAAAGTCTATTCCTCCTGCGTAAATATATACATCGCTTTCAGCCGTTCTCCAAATATCTGTTGCATCCTCCCAGCGTTCTTCATCAATTGCCGTTTTTAATTCTCTTGTCGTTTGCTGTAGGGCTTCGACTCCATTGGAATCGATGGCACCCTTTACATACGAAAGATGTTTTTGCAGATTCGACCGAATTTCAAGAAAAGTTATGATTTTTCACATCTTTATATTCACATATACATAAAATGAATATTATGGAAAATCTAATTCTAATATATATTTATATTTATAGCTTCGTCTGGTTTCTAAATTACTTACCACGTTAAATAAATATTCCGACCAGCTTTCGACACTATGGTAAGGATCGATCCAGGAATCACCGAGGACTATTCCGGTGAGATTTGATTTAATTTCACCTCGTTTAATTGCCTGCGAATGAATAAAACGATTAACTTAAAAATGGTGATTATATTTAAACGGATATGCTTAGTAGTGGTCACCGTCGGCTACTGCCAGATCGAAATGCTAATTAGGTTCATGCTTGTTCAATACTAATGTTGCGCTTCCCAAAGACTATTATTAAAATGATTAAAATTAGAGCTAACTATATTAAATCAATAAAAAAAAGATAATTGGTTATTTTTGGTTAGTTGATCTATAATGGGAGTCTCCGTTAACACATATTTCGCCAGTATATAAATTTCCAAACATTATTAAAAATTAGTTTTGCGCACATATCGTGGCAAATTGAATAAACCAAAAAAGGGGCTCTGAACGCAAATTAAATATGTTTGGTTTCGTGTGATCACTGAATAATTTTTTTTTATATCTCCAACCTTTGCCTCTTTACAATCAAAATATGTATTAAAATATTTGTAAATATGCATGTTACAAGATTTTAAATATGGTTTACCTGGTCAAGTTCTAACGCTATTTCCGCAGTCATCTTCCCACCATATGATTCGCAAAATATGTACAAGGGTACCGGCTCAAATTGGGGAAGAGCCGTATAAAATCCCTTTAGGAACTCCACGAAGTCAAGCGCTATTTGTTTGTTGGTGGTAGGTATGGCCCGTAAATCGTCAACGTAGCTGAAACCCGTACCAACCGGATTATCAACGAAAAGGAGATTTAAGTCCTTTACCCAGGTGTAATTTCTGAGATTCAGATTTTCATCCAAAGGTCCAATTTCCTCGAAATTGCCATACCTATTTAAGTTGAAAACAAAATCAATCATATATATGTATACGATAATTTTCGTGCAAACTACCCGACGGATGAAGCTCCGGGACCACCTTGAAGCCAGATCGCCAAGGGTCTCTCATAAGGATTTTGTGTAGCATTAGTGAAGTAAAGCCACCAAAATATATAGGCTTGTTCTCTTACGTTTACATATCCCCATTCTTGATCGTAAGGACCATATCCTTCTCGCCCTGTAAGGATAATGGAAACTCATTGATTTTGACCAATATAAAAAGTCATTTAACTCACCAAGAACGCTGGCAAATATAGTAAGTATAAGAAATAAGACCCCTTTCATATTTACCACACAATTAGTATTAGCTCACACATGTGCTAGTATATTTAATAGGTTGGTTATCTCCTTGTTTCCGTCAAACTTGATAAACAACGGTTATCGTGAATTAAGTAATCAAATGTCTACCTTCAAGTTCTGTGATAAATTACACTTATTCAAAATTTGATCAGATTACGCTAAATGAGCCGATATAAATTACAAGTACAATATCGATTCTGGTTGACGCGAAATGGATCTGGGAAGGCACCGTTATGGTAGAATCAAAATTCCTTATGGCAGTATCAGTTGAACGTATGGTGTGTAAAGTTATAGGGTTGTAATGAGCAAATTTTCGTTCCAAAATTTTTTCTTCCTTCATTAATATGTAAAAAATACAAACTCAGACCAGAGAGCTTTGTTAATTTTTATATCTTGTATATCAAAATAATAACTTTTGCTAAAAAGCTATCATAACGTATAGAAGCAAATAGATGTATCTTTTGAAAACCTGAACAAGGTTTTTATTTGTCATTGTTCTCATTTAATTGTCAAATTGTTTTTATACTAGAAATGTTGTTTTAAAATACGGATCATATTTTGATATTATTTACGCGTTAAAGGATAAAATCAAAGCAATGTTCATTATGAGTTTTAATATAATACTTCATGTAATTTGAGATATCTTGGTTTATATCTCATTATTTATTAATTAATTCAAAATTTCATAGTTGCTGCTGTTGGGCAAATAATAATTTTCAATAGGTAATTACAAATTTAGTAATGTAGGAAGGGGCGAGTAGTTCTGTCAATTTCAATCAATCTCTCTACCCGTCTAGCCCATGTCGACCTACGAAACGATGAATAAGGACACTTATCTCCATAGATTTTCGCGTCCAATTGTTATTACATTTTCTTTAGGTTTCACAAATAACGAAAATAAATACGAAAAGTTGGACATATTGGATGAAGTTGAAGTGAACACTATGCGCACATTATTGCTGATCGTTTGAATATGGAATCCTAAAGTTTCGAATATCAAATGACGTTTGGCATATGAATTTTCAAAAATCTTCTTTAGGCACGCTATTCAAAATTGTTGTTAGCAACTGTACAGTTTTTACATTTTTTGGTAGTTAACAAAAAAATAATTTAAACCTGTGTAATGTATTTATTAAAATAACATTTAAACAGAGTAATTGTTGGTTACTTTTTTCAATATGTATTCCATTCCTTTGGGATTATCCGCAGGCACCTGAAACATCATCAAATCAGTAGATATTAGTGAAAATATATATATAAGTTTTCGAAAGCTAACCATGTGACCTGCTCGTAATACCCAGTAAAAGGTAAGCGTTCCATAGGATTTTTCATATCCCTCGTAAATGCCGTTTACCGAAAATCCCCGCCTCGGTGCTTTCAAATATTCACTGGCATTTTTCCACCTTAGATTTTCGACCCATTTAACGGTACCTGAAAATTGTATGTGATTTCATATCATGCTACCACATACATGTTTAGAGTTCACCTGGAGTAGCGACGATCAAATCCAATTGACCGCTAAGGACGTTCACAGAGATGCTGGTTTCATTTAGGAGCCTTTCAACCACATCGTTTACGGGTTTCATGAAATCTTCGGTTAAGAAATCGAACACCCAACCCGCATACTGGCCCCAAGTCGATGTGAGATTTAATGCTTTTTTAACATCGTTCATTATAATACTAAGAGGGACGACTTCTCGTAGTTCTCGTTTGGCGATTCTCTTAACTGTGATGTAGCGTCGAGAACAAGAGAATTGGTTATTGCAAATACTGGTTCGATTGTAATAATATGAATTGTACAAAAGGGCGTCAAGTAATCTAACTAAAATCAGATTTTCACTGGTTGGGCAACTTACGAGAGTTTTGCTTCTTCAGATCTTGTAAATAGTAGTCATCGATTTCCGTGAGTATATTGTAAAAGTCTATTCCGTCTGTATAATCGTATATGTCATCTTCAGCGATGCCCCAAATGTCTGTCGCATCTACCCATCGTTCCTCATCAATTGCAACTTTCAATTTTCTCGTCGTTTGCTGTAGGGCTTCGACTCCATTGGAATCAATGGCACCCTATAATTGGTTGCTATGTTTACCGACATAATGCAGTTCAGGAGAGACACTCCATAAGTTAAATACTATCACCTCTCCGTTTTGAGAAAAGTGTTTACAATAATACAGTAATAATATTTGACAATTTTAATTACCTATTCATTAATTTAGTAAAAATACTAGCTTGAATTTTTTTGTTCTTTTTTCAAATGCAATGAATCTTGAAACAGTTCCCCTAAACTACTTACCACGTTAAATAAATATTCAGACCAACTTTCGACACTACTGTAAGGGTCGACCCAAGAATCACCGAGGGCTATTCCAGTCAGATTAGACTTAATTTCGCCACGCTTAATTGCCTGTAAATGAATGAGATGAATAACCCTACATTAATATGTCAATATTTAAACATTTAAAATATTTAATGATGAAAAATTTAGAATTTTCGTTATTTGGTAATACTAAATCATATGACCAAAAAAACTTTCGAGAAAAAATAAATTTGGGTTAATTGTTATTATTATCAAATACGACAATGATTATTTAAAAAATGTTTATATCTAGTGTACAAGTGGGTTAATGCTTGTCATTTCAATACCTACATATATGACCCAGGCTTTATTCTGGAACTAAAAATGTCAAAAACTGTTCCTATGTAATATTGTAATGTAATTGTAATGTTGTAATATGTTAATATTTTTTATTACCATACATATTATGTAATTTTGCACAGGATATATCATCATATCAACATTAATTTTAACTTGTCTAATTTCACCATTAAGTTTGACGAACCCGAACGATTTTAGTCTATATAAAAAACGTAACAATATGATTGTAATTTAGATTCTATCCTGATTTAGTAGTAGAGTTTGAGTAGAGTTTTGACAATATTTTACTAAGCGGGATTGATGAAAATCCTTTTAAGTCCATTAGCATTAAATAAAGAAGGCAAAGTAAACGGGTTTAAATAATTTGTATAGTTTTGAATTTGTTTCAAATTTGCTATTGCACAAAAGATTTAGTCACTTACATGGCTAAGCTGTTAAAAACAGTCGCCTATAAATAATATTTATATAATTTTGTGTTTATAAATCAAACTCCAGCTCTAAAGAAGCCAACAGAATGAACGGCGAAACTTCAGCAAGTTTGATTTATACAAAACTGACACAGGAGGAATCCACAACATTGGTAAATAGTATTACAGTAAGCCTTAAGTTGTACTTTAAGAGTTTTCTGAAAATATTGACATTTATACAGCAGGCTAGCAAACAAGATCCCTATTCCAATATAAAAATATATTAAGTGTTCAGTCGCTCATCAGGTTTTAAAATAAAATAAAACCATAAATTTAATTTTTTTTTTATGGATTTCAAAAATTTTATTTTAAATTAAGTATGTCTTGAATATTCCGTAGAATTGTAATATGCAATAATATATAAGGTATCCAATTTCATGAAAATTAACTCTGTTTTTATAAATATTTTATAAAAAACGTACTTATATAAACATTTTATTTAACTTTTTGGTTCGTCTCCTATTTAAAAAAAAACTCCCAAGATTCTCATTCTGTAAGTCAGACATGAACAGCAGTTTACCACGAACTTAATATTCTTAGTACGACTGGGAGGGTATATACTTATAATATGCTATACCTTGTTCAGCTCTAACGCTATTTCCGCAGTCATTTTTCCTCCGTATGATTCGCAAAATATGTACAGGGGTACTGGCTCAAATTGGGGAAGAGCCTTATAAAATCCCTTTAGCAATTCGACGAAGTCAAGTGCTATTTGATTGTTGGTGGTAGCCAAGGCTTGTATATCATCAACATAACTAAAACCGGTGCCAACTGGGTTGTCAACGAACATTAAATTCAAGTCCTTGACCCAACTGTAATTTCTGGGATTCAGACTTTGATCCAGAGGTCCGATTTCTTCGAAATTTCCATATCTAAGCAATAAGCAGAATCACCTATACCGTCATATAAACGAAAAGTTCGCTCGACCTACCCGACTGATGAAGCTCCGGGGCCGCCTTGAAGCCAGATAGCCAAGGGTCTGTCATAAGGGTTTTGTGTAGCATTAGTGAAGTAAAGCCACCAAAATATATGGGCTTGTTCTCTCACGGTCACATACCCCCACTCCTGATCGTAAGGACCATATCCTTCGCGTGCTACAAAAATATGATATATGCGTTTATTTGATCGGAAGAAAACGTCTTTGTACTCACCAAGAACGCCGCTAAATATGGTTAGTATAAGCAATAGTACCCCTTTCATATTTACGAACTAATAATTGGTACATATGAACCAGTATTTTTATTAAGGCTGTTATCGTCTTATTTCCATCTTAATTGATAAAAACGGTTATCTTGAATTAGTTAAAAACCATTCACTTATTCAAGTGCAGTGATAAATGATACTTGTTGAAAATATAAAATAGAGAGATTATATGGTGCCGGTGCTCTGCATGTCCCTAAACGATATATCTAAATTAATAATAGGCGTTAGTGGTAGCTTATGGTATAATTTTCAGGAAGAACCAGAATTGCTTATCGCAACTTTCAAAACTTGATTTAAATCTTAAAGATATTGTAAAATTGATAACTTAATTGTCATTCTTAATTCTATTATCTTCAAAGTGATTCAAAAATCCGATTACATTGTTCTACCAAAAATTATGCAGGAAATTATAGGATGTTTATTTTGTACATTTATCTAGCGCCAATCTTAGACGTGATCAATTTTACAAGTCATTGCGTATTTAACTAAACATCTTTGTTGGTGTGTTTTTTCAAGACATTTTTTTACTTGGGCAAGGTCCTTTTCAAAACATATCCTATACCTTCGAAGAGGAGGACACCGAGAAGACCTCAACATCAAATGAATGAATGAATGTTGTCCACCACAGCAAATGTGATGTGAAAATACCAGGTATTTTAATCACGATGTTAAAGTTGTTATTTTATTTTTCTGAATCTTTCCAGAGAACTAGTGTATAGCCAGTAGTATTTAATGACCAATGCATTTTAGTGAGTAGATGTGACAGTAACATGAAGAGCATGGTTCCAAAAAACTCCTTTGATACATATCCTAAAGATTACAAGAGATTTATGGTATAATTTATTCACACAGATAAGAAGCAATAAGTCTACAGAGTTTTGTGATCCGAGGACAACCCAAACGTTCGAAGATTGGAAGATTGGAATCTTCAAAATTAAAGCTCAAATATTTCCTACAACATTTCTATATCATAGTAAACAATAATAGACAATTAGTAGTTCAAGCAGTTTTGACACTGTACGGTAGCCTTAAAGTGTAATTGTTTTAAATAGATGTTGGGTTCTTTTAAGTTTAGGATATTTCGGAACTGGTTGTTGAGTTTTACATTAATGAAAAGGAAAAAAGAATATTTTCTCTTGATTATCGATCCTTTCAATAACCTCTTGGGCTAGTCATAGTATACAGTATTATACAGTATACAATTTTGGATCGCATCTTTAAATAAGGTGGGTTGCGATTAAAGGGCAGGTTGTTTCCCCTCTCACCCATTCTAGTATTTATGTTGCCCCCGTTTATTTGTCATGGCTTTATTCTGGGGTTCTTGGACTAGGTGTTCTGTCTGACTGTAACCAATTTTTGAGATAACCGCGCTACGAATCCGATTGGCAAGCGAGGAAAATAAAGAAGTACTAGTCTCTCTCGCCTTGTATACCGTGTTTTTCATTCCGAGTAAGGTGATTTCGAAGGACTGACCCTATCCCGTTAAACGATAAAGTCTTCCCGTACCTTGAGACTCATCTTAAAGTCGCTTCTTCGACGTTATGGGCTTGCCATCTGGCCGGTGCGCTGAGGAACCTGATTTGGAGTTGGCCTGGGATCTAGATTAAGATCTAAATGTTTTCCATTTTTAGATAATAAAGTAGTCTTTAAATTCGAGCGGGCGGTCATGTAGCACAGACAACGAAGAATAATAGGCTTAGGTTGGAACTGTTGAAGTCATAGTTAGGTATGAAGATGCAAATGACCTACGATGTTTCTTTTCTGTGTAATCTGTGGTCACGTCAGGAACATAGAACATTAAATGACCAAAGTGGATTAAGTATCCAGACTTTTTGGATGGGATGATTTGTACAACATGAATTTTTTTCTGTTTTCAAAGAAACTTCTACAGGCTGCCCCAATACTATTTCCAAATCTTCTGGATTTCTAGTACGTCGATTGTTGATAAATCGAACTTGCTGACGTTTTACCAATCACCCTGTCAGCTCAATCAGAGCCTAACTGAAACTGAAACAGTTTTAGAAGAGTTTCAGTTTAAGTTATCTTAATTTTAATGTTATGTATCAAAATAACAACTTTTGCTAAAAAATATCATAACGTATAAAAATAAATAAGAAATAGCTGCCATGCGGAAATAAATATATTTTTTGAAAACCTGAACAAAGTTTTCATTTGAAATTGTCATTTAATTTGTTAAATTGATTTTCATAAAGTAAGAATCACATCAATTCAACTCTTTTTATATACTGGAAATGTTGTCTTGATAGTTTGATTTATAATATGAGAGTTATTTTATATTATTTACAAAGAAAAGGAATGTTGTGAGAAAAAAAATGACAACCTGTCTATCTTAATTATCTATATTAAATTCTTAATATAATACTTCATTCCCTTATTAACAACATCTCCCATCTGCAAGTGATATTTTAGACCTTCTATTTCTTTTATCCTATTTAATAATTAATTCAAAATATCATAGTTACTGCTGTTGAGCAAATAATAATTTTCAGTAGGTACATACGAAGGCGCGAGAAGATAGTTCTGCCAAATTCTAGTAGAACCCAGCTCTGTTTCAGTCATTCAACCATATTTTTGCTTCTATCCCACTACTCGACTTCGCACTCCACCTTTAAACACGTTTAGCCCATGTGGACCTAAAAAACTATGAGTAAAGAAAGTTATTTCGATAGATTTTCTTTATTCAATTATAATGACATTTTCTTTTAGCTTCGCAAATAATAAAAATAATTAACAAAAATTTGACCTATTGTAAAACCAAAAATTATTTAAAAAAGTAGTAGTGGAAACATAAATTGCTATTTGGGGGGGGGGGGGGGGTGTACAAAATCACAGATATCAGTAGGTACTCGGAGTCAGGCGAAACAACACGATGGCTAAGTCAGTTCCAAGCGTTGCCTGCCAACGGGGGTTGCAAAACAGGGGGTTGGAACAAGGAATTCTTATGTGTCGAATATCGAATGACCTTTGTTTGGCAAATTGTCACATCGTTTGGTGTTGCAATATTTTTAACAGACAATTTGATGCAAAGACTTCTTTGAGCTTTAAAAAATGTTCTTTGGATTCGCTGTTCAATATTGCCAAAAACCGTGCTAGCAAGTGTACAGTACATTTCTTATCCTATTTTCAATAGATTAATATTTTAGTTAATTTAGCTTAATAAAATTTTGGGGTTGTACATCAAGGACAGACAATTAAAGAAGATGAGTGGAATGGCGGTCGAAATGTGGGATGCGGCAGAAGCTGTAGGAACCCCACTGTATACATGTATATATACATCAGTTAAATAAAAAAAAAACATATTTCAAAATTGTGAGTAATTGTTAGTTATTTTTTCCAGAATGTATTTCATTCCTTTGGGATTATCCTCAGTTACCTGCAACAACACCAAATAAGTAGAAATTAATGAAAATATTTTTTTAAGTTTTCGGGAACTAACCGTGTGACCTGCTCTTAAGATCCAATAGAAGGTGAGCGCTAAGAAGGATTTTTCATATCCTTCGTAAATGCCGTTTATCGAAAATCCCCGCCTCGGTGCTTTCAAAATTTAACGGTACTTGAAAATTGTATATTATTTCATCTCATGCTACCACATACATGTTTAGAGTTCACCTGGAGTAGCAACGATCAAATCCAATTGACCGTTAAGGACGTTAACAGAGATGGTGGTTTCATTTAGAAGTCTTTCAACCAACTCATTTACGGGTTTCATTTCTCTGTTAAAAAATCGAACACCGTATCTGCATATTCGCCCCAGTTCGATGTGAGATTCAATGCATTTTTAACGTCGTCGAATATAAGATCAAGCGGATCGACTTCTCGTAGTTCTCTTTTGGCGATTCATTTAACTGTAATGACCATAATATTATATCATTAAAATGATACGGTTAAGCAACTTACGCGGGTTTTGCTTCTTTAAATCATGCAAATAGTAATCATCGATTTCCATGAGGATATTATAGAAGTCTATTGTATCTGTATAATCGCCTATATCGTCTTCAATACTGAGCCAAAGGGCTGACGCATGCAACCAGCGTTCCTCATCAATAGCAACTTTTAATTTTCTTGTCATTTGCTGCAGGACTTTGACGCCATTGGAATCCATGGCACCCTATGATTGATTGGTATATTTAAACATAACAAATGCATAATTTAAATGTTATCTCCTCTGCGCTTCACCAAAGTGTTTACAATAATTCGATTATTCTTAAAAAATTCTGACGCATCTATTAACAAACAAGTAATAACATTACTACCACAGTACATATTTGAAAATTTTAATTACTAATTGATTTTTTTTGTTCTTTTTTCAAATTTTTTCAACTTTAACCAGTTGCTTCAAAACACTTACCACGTTAAACAAATATTCCAGTAAGATTAGACTTAATTTCGCCACGCTTTACTGCCTGTGAATGAATGAGACGAAAAATCATACATAATAATTTTGTTTATTTTGTATTATTAATTTAGACAACAATTGTCAATTAATTGCGAAGTAAAATTGTGTATCATTTAAAAATGTTAATATCTAATTTTATACTTAACACTGTGATAGAGATATGTCGGAAAAACCATACATTTGGTTGATGTCTATTATCATTTCAATAACAAAAAATTCATACCCGACCCTCTGGAATTAAAAATGTAAAAAAGTCTTCTTATGTAGAAAACACGCAATGTTAGTTTCAAATATTTTAAAATTTTTAATTTATATTTATTATACAGTAAATCCTAAAATTAATTTCGTTTTAATTAGGTTCTCTGCAAAGTGACTTCACCATTTTGACGATTTGATTTTAGTCAATGTGTCAACGTGTACAAAATTTTTATTTAATTTTTTGGTTCGTCTCCTCAATTAAAAAAGAATGTATATTATCCTAAGATAATGGACCATGCTGTAAGTCAGCCATCTCCAGTGGTTTGCAACAAACATGATATTTTCAGTCTGGCTGTTCAGTCTGGCTGGGAGAACATATGAATAAGCATATGTTATGTATAATAAATATTGCATTTGTCCATTACAATATAATATACCTTGTCTAGCTCTAACGCTATTTGCGCAGTCATTTTTCCGCCGTATGATTCGGAAAATATGTACAGGGGTACCGGCTCAAATTGGGGAAGAGCTATATAAAATCTTTTTAGGAACTCGACGAAGTCAAGCGCTATTTGTTTGTTGGTGATAGCCAAGGCCCGTATATCGTCAACATAACTGAAACCGGTGCCGGTGCCCGCCGGGTTGTCAACGAACATTAAATTCAAGTGCTTGACCCAGCTGTAATTCCTGGGATTCAGAATTTTATCCAGAGGTCCGATTTCTTCGAATTTTCCATATCTAAGTAAAAGGCAAAATCAACGTCCGAAATATATACAATAATTTTCGCTCGACCTACGTGACTGATGAAGCTCTGGGGCCGCCTTGAAGCCAGATCACCAAGGGTCTGTCATAGGGGTTTTGTGTAGTACAGCCACCAAAATAAATGGGCTTGTTCTCTCACGGTGACGTACCCCCACTCCTGATTGTAAGGACCATATCCTTTCCGTGCTACAAAAATAGGGTACACGCCTTTATTTAACCAGAAGAGAAATTATCTGTACTCACCAAGAACGCTGTTAAATACGGTTAATGTAAGCAATAATACCGCGTTCATATTTACGAACTAATAATTTGTACACCTAGACCAGTTTTTATATTAATGATGTTATCGGCTTCTTTCAATTTTAGTTGATTGGATTGAACTTCGTGAATTAGTTCTCAACTATTTACCGATTGAAGTTCGGTGATAAATAATACTTATTCAAAATTTCATTAAATTGCGCCACCTTGGCAAATATAAAATGCAGCGGTATTCTGCATGACACAGGAACCATATATCTAAATGAACATGGGTACGTTAGTGTTACCCAGCTTATCTAGGAAGTTAGTCTTTAGGAAGAATCAAAATTAATTATAGCAACTTTCAAAAAATGTAATGTCAAACTTAAAGATTGAACTGTAAAATTGAAGACTTGTCACTTTTAATAATTATATTCAAAGTAATTCATTGTATATGGATGTTATCCGCCGCCAGTTTGAGAGAGGGTCAATGTATAAATCTGCCTAAATAAAGGTAATTTTTTCATATCTTTATGTAATTTACTAAACACTTTTGTTGGGATGTTTTCCAAAAAATTTTCTACGATTTGGGACATTTAAGATATACTTGTGTTCAAATTAATATATAGACGAAATTTCTTTTCTTTTCTTCTTCGGATAAAAAAAAAGGCAATGTTGGTGAAAAACAAAATCAGGATGGCGGCATTTTTAATAATATACATGAATAAATAAATAAATAAATGGTATCTATCTTAATTATCTACATTAAAATTATTCGTTGTCTGTCTTAGTATGTATTCCATTGCAGCCGGGTTGTCCGCCGGCACCTAAAATGAAAACTTAATTAAGCAAAACTAGATTGGACCAATTTTTATAAAATGACCATTGCTTATTGCTTTCTTATTGAGAAGAGAGAATGGAGAAGAGACAAAAGTTATCCCCGCAAAAAGAAGTTAAATTTGTTACCGACAGTACAAAAAAAGACGCATATAAATTTAAAAAAAACAAAAAAAAGATTGAATTTATTACAATATTACAAAATTATTAACTTTTTGTTTTAATTAACAAAATGCGCTTCAATGATCTTTCACTGCCAGGATTGTTTGGGATGGTGATAAATTGACTAGACCCGTGAAAAAGCTCAGTGGTTACGTGTGAGCATTATAACCTAAGTTCAAGGGATGTTCTTTTTCTGCTGCACTTAAATACATTTTGATTTCCCGTAAAAATTGAGGGCTCTCAAAATCACAAAACATAATCGAGTATTGAATCATCTTTTAAATATAATATAGTGATTCGAAGGATTATATATATATATATATATATATATATATATATATATATATATATATATATATATATATATATATATATATGTTGATTCTTACTCCTCTTATAGGGATCTAAAAATGTTGAAAACGATCGGCTACATACATGCTCTTATTTGATTTTTCCTACTCGAGATGTTCTTTTAACGTTAAAGGGCTTTAAAGGGTCAGAGAATTTGAATTGAATTAAAAAATTATATAAAAATCCTCGCTCAATCCTACCGAATGCCCTGCTCGGTTCACCCAATACAAATGGAGATTTTCAGTTGATTTTTCGTAACCCTCTATGATATGGCCAACAGCAAAAGATTTTCTAAGGGTATTTGTAGTCCATTCATTAGCTTTGTTCCATTTTAAGTTGTCGACCCATTTCAATGTTCCTAAAACAATTAAACATTTCAATATTGTTAAATTTACAGAAAACCAGTACATGTGTGCGTTACAGAGTATCAAAACTTGAAAAATGTGGTGAAAATAATATTTATTGTTAATTACCAGGTGTTGCAACAATTAGATCCAGTTGGCCATTGTAGACGGCTACTGTTAAGTTAGTGTCGTTCAAAATTCTTTCCACGCCATTCGTCACTGGTTTCATCATATCGGCTTCGACTGCTTTAAAAACGTAGTTTCCTTGTGCACCCCATTGTATAGTTGAATTGATATTTAAGGCACTCTTTACTTCGTTATTCATTAATTTATTCAAAGCTTCATCGCCACTCCTATCGGGCAAGTAGTGATTACCCCAGGCTAAAAATATATCAGTAAAATACATTATACAAATAAAGTCATACAGTAGCATAATATAAGTCTTCCAAATTTTAATAAACTTTGTATATTTTTTGTTTAATTATTTTTTTATGTAATACTTTTTTGCAACTATTATTAATTTAAAATTTAAGACTATGATGTATAAGTATACCTCATTCAACGTATTATCAAAGTCCAAGTTTTAGGTGTCTATAGTTTAAGATAAAGTTTTCAATAATTCACTTATACTTACAACTCGATGAATCTCTGGTAAGGTATTTTTTAGTTTTGGATAATATGTTATAAAAATTCACATGGTTCGTTAGGTCGTTGATGATTATTTGCGTCACTAGGAACAGCTTGGTTACATTTTCGTAGTGTTCGTTTGAATATTCCGCTTCAGCTATAGACGTCACGATGCTCACCAGTTCCAATCCATCTGAATCGATAAACCCCTAAAAAATTGTCTATTCTATAGGTATCGTAATGTTCTTCATAACTTCATAAGATCGAGAAATTCATAACATAGGTTAATACAAATATCACAAAAAGGTTTAGTTTGGGTATAAAGAAAACTAATCCTATACACCTTGGAAGTGACTTAGTACTTTGTATGACTCAGAGGAAATGTCACACCTCGTATTTTTAATAAACTTTTAAATATCTTAGTCACAAATTAGTACTTATTGAATTTGAATTTTTAACTGAATTTTTACAGAATTTTATGGAAAATTCGATAGAGAAAAAGAAACAAGTTTTATTTGTATTTCCCAGTTTTTCAGTGAAGGAAATAGGCTGACTATACATAAGTTACTTACCAGGTTAAATAAATACTCTGGCCAAGAGAGCAACGAATTGAGTGGCGATATCCAAGCATCTCCCAATCCGAGTCCTTTTAGATTGCATTGGATTCCTCCATTTCGTACTTTCTAGAAAATAGAAAACAATTTTTTGGATTTCGTTATTTGGGGTTGTATCCCTACGAAATGATTACGGTGGATGGAGGGCCTTGTACTCTTCTACAATATTCCACACATATTATTTATTTCGATTTATTTAGATGTAATAGTCTAAATGAAAAAAAAAATTCCGCGTTTCGCAATATGACACACAATTTTCATTAAAAAAAAAAATATATATATATATATATATATATATATATATATATATATATATATATATATATATATATATATATATATATATATATATATATATATATATATATATATATATCCCACTACCTTCAAAGCGTCCGTACATTAACAATTTGCTATTTTCCGAGCGTCCGTCTACAGCCCGGCGTCCATATATGGACGGATCATAGTAAACTGAATTTTCTTGTATATTGTTAGTTCAACTGTATACCCGGTAGAGGCGCGAGAGCCAGTCTCAGTATATTTTACAAGATATATTCTACTTTCAGCTAGTCGATTTCCAGGCGTCCTTTCCAGACTGGCGCGAAATTGTGGGGTAACGGCTCTGCATCGCCTAGTTGTTTTGTTAGCTTGTAGAAACGGTGGAAATAGATAATTTTATTACCACAAATTAAGAAGTACGCTAAGATGGAATTAACGGAAACGTAACACAAGTACACAAGACTTTTTTTTTCTATTAAAAAATTAAATAATTAATGAATGTTTATTCATATTCATTATATTTATCATATCTATCAATCATATTTACATCCTGTTGCCAATGCCGTACTCTTCATATGATGTTAGATGTTAATGATATTAGAATTTAAAACAATATTGTGTGATACACGTCGGGAAACTCTTTTGTTTCGCTTGCTTTCTTCTTATCGAGAAAATCCGCTCATTGCATAAACTTATTCTTTTTGCAACTACTTGTGAACTCGCGTCGGACAACAAACGCAATAACAACACCCAAGGCTCCAGGTGGGAATCAAACCTATAACCTGCTGCAAGTCAAGTTGGCAGGTCTAACGATTTACCAACCGAGTTATCCTCAATCACTTAAAAAAAATTATTCTTTTTTTATTTAGTTGCACGAATTGCTATTTTTCGATTATTTAATTATTATTGTATTATATAAATCTTCAGCTCCATTAGGCAACATTATTAAAATAATATTTTAATTAAACAAAGTGACACCAACAAGTTTTGGTTTTTTATATGCGAATATTGTGCAATAACTTCAGAATCTTTTTTAATTTTTGGGTACATTTTTAGAATTATTACGTTCTTCCGATAATTTCTGCTAAATACTATTTAGAGCGGTGTACGAAATATTAAAAATATCGAATATAAATAATTATATTATAGAAATATTTAATATAAATGGTTGTCTAATGCAATATAAAAAGAAGTCGTTGGAATTTGCAAATTAAAATATCGTTTGCTAAATACTTATCTAAATAATTGCGTAATAAAGTATTTTGATTTTATCGTCTAATAATATTATATTAATATTAATTATAGTCCGCAACATATAAAAACAATTTTAAACTATTTTATTGAACGATTTAATTTCTTGACTTTTGCTTTTAATCAAACCAAAATAAATTTGTAAAGTAACGTTTCTATATTTTAGTAACAATTATCATTTTGAAATTAACTTTGATAAAAGTTATTCGATAAAAGTGTTCTTTTTAATAGTTACTTTTCTTCATTGTAACCTAAGATATAAATAAAAATAAAGTAGAGCAAGGAATGAGAGGGATAGAAAGTAACGTACGGAACATTCAATAATGTGTCACCACTGCCACCGAACAATATTTGGCTATATTACTTTTTTAATGTACCTAAACGTAAGTCGTAACAATGTTTTTCTAAATATACTCTCAAAGTGCACACCTAGTGCAGACCTCTGAACTAAAGTATCTTTTTAGGGGATTTTCGATATATTCTCTATAAACTTTTGCCTTGAGCTAAAACGTGTCTCTTTAGTTCCTTAGATACCATCTAATTTTTTTTCCCAAATTCATTAAAAAAAAAAACACTTTCAAATTCCTGCTCTAAAATACCTATTATTCAGTGTGGCTTAAAGACGTTACCTAGGGCTGCGAGCCACTTCGGATATTTCCGGTGATATATTAGCCAGCGCTTTGGTTCTGATGGTAAAGCTACGCATATAGTATGCAACACCTACATACAAAACCAAGATGGCGTTTATGAAACTTGTTTAGCAAATATTTCTGAAGATTCTTTTTAAAGGAAACTTCCCAAATAATGTAAGACTATTTACAAATATTCTGCATTCTACCTGCGTCGGTGGTTGATAAAACTTGCTGACGTTTCGCAACCATCTTAGAGATCTCACAGCTAGTCCTGTTCATAAATTTGACCGTTACAAGAAAAATATGTTAAAGTCAAGCATTTTTCAATTCGGTTGAGTAGGTTTGGTTCCAGATTCCCGAATTGCAATATATCTGAAAGAGCTATGTCAAAACTAACCAGAGAAACAGAACAAAAAATATACGACTATGACAAATAAAGTCATAAGCAGTTGCCGAAAACAATAATGAAACCGAAATCACATGTCCCTCCTTTAGCTCCGCCTCTCTAAAACAGTATATAAGTGGGTTCAGAATACAATGTGAGAAAGCTTCACTTAAGCTCTGAAGAAGTCATCAGGACGAGTGGCGAAACGTCAGCAAACGTCGACAAACGATGAAGAGGAGATCTATAAGATCTATAAATAGCATTCTGAAGAAAATGTTAATTTTGACGAGTAACGAATGCCTCTCTCATCGCAGTTGTCTGTGTTCTTTATAATTTTATAAAAATTTAAAAAATGCTTATTTTTATTAAAACTAAAATAGTAACCTCTAATTATTCCTCCTAAATATTCCAAATAACTAACATCGGCCCATTTTAGACCAACATTAAACACACAAAACACAGTAATATGATGCCTCGGTTGGCCTCGTAAAAGAAAATAATTGAAAATGATATTAATTTCTAAATTAACAGTTTTTCTTAATTCGGTACAATAATTTATTGATCTGAAAATAAGTCAACCGTCAAGAACTTAGAAATCAATTTAATAAATTATATTTAAATATTAGTGTTAATTTTTAACAAAACTTCTGGATTCCTCCTGCGTTGGTTTTTGCTGGGTCGAAATTGCTGACATTTCGCCAATCATCCTGTTGGCTTCTTCAGAGCTTGACAGAAATCCAGAAGTCGCGGTTAAGATTGTTAGGTTGTTTATAGATTTCTATAGACTCTCGGATTTTTAGTTGGTAGGAGAATTAATTACATGCAAGAATTTTAGTTTTATCGAATAAAATTTTATAGCCGGTTTCGTGATTATGTTCGGCAACAGCTGATGGGTTTATTTGTCTTAGTCGTAAAGTTCTTTCGTATTCTTTGAGCCTAGTTGATATTTTTCGACCGATTTCTCCAATGCATTCTTTGCCGCATATGCATGGAATGCTGTAAACTCCTGGCATCTCAAATTTAATTTTATCTTTGACGGACCGAAGATGTCGAGACATTTTGGACTTCTTTAGAACTTTTGATATGTGGTCAATGATATTTTGAATGTAAATCGCAAGTGTAGGATTGCCTTCGGCCTGATTGTTATTGGAAGGTTGTGGTGAAGTGTATATCGAACGCTTAATATCTTTAAGGTGGAAATTATTAGAGAGAAGAGCAGAGAAAGAGGTTGAATTAATGTTTTAATTCTGGGTTCAGTGACTCGGGCTGAGATAGTTTTACGGCTCTGTAAACAAGAGAGATGTTGAGAGTTTCAGGTAAATGGTAAGAGGGATTCTTCGTCGAAAATAACTAGAATATCTTGTGTATCTAATGTAATTAAATGAACACCAATATGGGAATCAGTCATCCGAGACGGTATTTATGCCCCTCATTTGGCTCCGCCTCCCTCAAACAATATGTAAGCAGGTACAGAGTAAAATGCGAGCCAGTTGCAGTCAAGCTCTGAACATGCCACAGGATGATTGGCGAAACGTCAGCAAGTTCGACCCAGCAAAAACCGACGCAGGAGGAATCCACAAGTTTTGTAAAAAGTTTTACAGTAGCCTGTGGAAGTTTCTTTGAGAAATTAATAATAGTATTTATTTTCAATTATTAAGTTGTAAAAAAAGTGGTTTAGATATCCATTTGAAAAATATTAGTTATTAGGGCACCCCTGAAATTAACACTTTTTATGTAAATTTAGGTCCAACCAGCAACTGATTAACGTAGTTACAAGTGCAATATTTCTGGCAAACATATTGCCTTGAAATCAATCAAAGTATTACTTTCCGAAATCGGGCGACGTATTAAAGAAAACATCTACAAAAAGAAATTAAGTTTAGCAAAGATCTTTAAAAATTAAAAAATCGACCAAAAAAAAATAGAATAAAAAAAAACAGTTCGCAACAAAGTATTAATCAATCAATCGGGCAACGTCGCTCGGACGCTCAGAAATCTGCGCAATAAATGAAAAATATACATAAGGATGCTAGGATGCTGGAATGTAAAAGTTTTTACGTGTATATTGGACGCTAGCAAGTTACCTTTATGAAAGGACGCCGACATATTAGTATCTTAAAACTTCACAAAAATGATCTTCGTAAAATCTGGCCTAAGGAAACCCAACGCCACCTCGTTTACAAAACTTAAAAATATTTACTTGCTAAAGTAGGGATCTTTAAGAAAACGATACTGTACGCTCAGAGACGGATCCATGAAAGGACGCTCGGAAGATAGCGGGATCTATATATATATATATATATATATATATATATATATATATATATATATATATATATATATATATATATATATGATGTTTAAAGAACGGACGACTTACCTCAACGAGTAAGAGCGCGATATCCACAGCCATTTTTCCTCCGTAAGATTGTCCGAAAATATACAAAGGCACACTCTGAAAATCTGGAAATTTTTCGAAAAATCCGTTCAAAAATTCCAGAAAGTCGCGGGCAATTGCGGCGTTGTCTTTGGCGAAACCATCTGATCCCTCCTCTATATAACTGAATCTAAATAAAAACGATGATAAAACGTAAATACATAAAAAAGTACTTGGTACTCACCCGGTACCGACCGGATTGTCAACAAATAATATATTCGCAAAATTTACCCAAGAAAACGAACGATTTTGTAAATGGACGTCCCACGGGCCGATTTCGTTAAAATTGCCCAATCCTGTGGAGGATCCTCCCGGTCCTCCTTGCAGCCAGATGATCAGAGGCCTGTCTTTGGCATCTGAACTAGCTGTTGTATAATATAGCCACCAGAACATGTAAGATTTTTCTCGCACTTTTATATAGCCCCAGTCTTGCTCACCAGGACCGAAGCCTTTGCGGCCTATGAAAAAAAAGAATATGTATGTTATATGGAGTAATTCGTTCGGTTTGTTTACAACTATCTCATTATCTGGATAACTTTATTGTTGAACCTCAAAGTCATTAGCGATTCCTCAACCTTCTAGAACACGGTTCAGCTAACGTATAAATACCTAGTACGAAACAGGAACAACGGATTTGGATTTTGTTAGTTTTTGTTGTAACACTTCAAACCCATTTGTTTTGTTCAGTTTCAAAATAAAGTAGTGACTAAAAATTTGTGTTATGTTCTAAGAGAGTAGTTTTTTAAACAAAATACCCCGGCCACGAATATAACACTATCGCAGACGTGCGATTTTCAAAAAGCGAGAATTGAAAGAACGTTTTCAACTCAAGCGAACGTGCAGTTCATCAAAAGAAGAATCAACACTCCAGAAAATTAATAAAAAGAGCCTGAGAGTCCAGAAATTGTGAAGAAAAAGAAGAATAAAGAAAAAGGAAAATTTATTCAAAGATCAGAAGGCAGGTACGGATTAGGAGCATTTGGTGGAACCGCGGGTATCAAAAAAAGCTGACTGATTTTCGAGAGAAGAAAACTGGGGACCCAATCTCTACGACGCGGCGTACGGAAGGAGCAGTAATAGTAAATTCAATGAATTTACTATTGTTACTGTAAGTACAATTTGATCTCGTTTAAAGTGTTGTTTGTTATTATTATAATTCGTGAGCCAAACTAAAAACATACAAAACGTCAGAAACAAATACTGACCCAACAACATCTCAACAACAAATTTGAACCTTACAAACTCTCTGAATTGTATTAATTTTACCCGAATATGATGGCGATGCAATAAATTTAAATACTTTTATAAGTGCCTGTAACAGAGCTTATCAAATGTGTACAATTGAGCAACGTCCTTTGTTAGTAATTAAAAAATAAAAGTTTAACAACTCAACAAAATGCAGTCCAAATTTCGTTGATTGAATCGATGGTATTGAGTACTTTGTTAACCGGTCTAAATTCTGACTTTGCAAAAAATAGTACTCGCAAACAAACCCGCTACTATGCTAAATGGAATTAACATGATAAACCGCGAATTGCAATTATTATATTTTGAACAATATCGTTTCCAATGCAGAAATCGTACACAAAATGATCGTTCAAATTACGCGAGAAAATCACAAAATCGAAATGTAGTTTTTGTAAACAATTTCAACATTTTTCTAATGAATGTAGATTTAAATAAAACCAAAATATGCAATTCCAAAGGAATTTGTCTCAATAAAATTTCCAAAATTTTCTTCATTTAAAAAAAATGTTCAAAGAAACAATTATATGCAAATATAAAACAATCAAACAAAATCATTAATCGATTTTTCAAAAATAGAATTGCCAAATGAACAATCATTAAGTACAGAACATAAAAACATTATCACTATTTTTGAATAAAGTGAACTTTGCGATTTACATTTTAATATAATCGCAAATTTATTTTAAGAATCACCACAAGTTTCAACCGAGAAAATAATTATATTATCTTCCAACTCGGTAATGAAACGTTACTATTATTCTTTTTACAAAACTTCTGGATTCAGTCAAGCTCTGAAGAAGCCAACAGGATGATTAGCGAAACGTCAGCAATTTCGACTAAGCAAAAACCAACGCAGGAAGAATCCAGAAGTTTTGTAGAAAGTATTACAGCAGCCTGTGGAAGTTTCTTTGAAAAATGAAAAGTTACTATTATATTATTATTCTCTCGTTTGATAATGAAACTGCAGTACCAAGGTTATTTAAAATACTTTGTAACACTGAGCTTACTGAAAACAAAATGTATTATGTGGAAAATAATATCAAGTTACCTATTCTCGAAATGCTATCTTTTATTTTCGTCGCCAAAGATTTAAAACTAATCGTTTGTCAAAATGTAGTTACAATGCCTCACAAAGATCAGATACCAACAATTATTCATCAACAACACTATGGAAAAAGAAATCTTTACCGCGGAATAAATGAAACAATTAGACGACTCTAAGAAAAATGCACTTGTCAATGAATGACTAAAGATATTGAAGACTATTAAAAAATGTGAAATTTGCCAATAAACTGAAATTAATCGAAAAAATTTAACATTTAACATTTGTAATTACTGACACAAACAATTATATTTTAACAATTCGAGATGAATAACAAAATTTACTCAAGCTTATCCAATATCTTATAAAAAACATTTACATTTTCTAGAATCAGAATCAAACGGTTATTTAGAAAGATTTTATGCAACCTTATTAGAAATGCTTCGAATTTCAAAAATGGAAAATCCAAATGGACATCCATTTAGTGTATTACCTTATGCAGTAATTTTTTATAACAATTCTGTTAATAAAACAAATGCTTTTACCCCATGGCAATTAATGTTTGGCCATAAGTCAAATAGATCATCAGACACAGTCTATAACGAAAAATAATTAATTACAAAATATGTAAGAGATTTAAGTACTCGAATTAAATGTTATTATGATAAAGCAAAAAACTGAACAACAAAAACAAAAGTTAAAAGAAAGATTTGATAAACGTGTTTCTAAACAACATCAATTTCAAGTAGGAGATAAAGTTTATATGAGAGAATCGCAAATAGAAAATTTTGATAATAAATTTAATGGTGTCCATTTGAGTTCATTGAAATTTTTGAAAAATAGTATAAAGATACTAAGGAATTTTAAAAACGCGCATGAAAATAATAATAAAATATTAAGCAGCTTACTTCGTTTAATAACTGTTTGAAATAATCGAATATATGCCTTTAAAGCTCAAGTGCAAATTATTAAACCAAACATGAAATATTTTAGAAACTAAGTTTTCCGAAATAGAATTTGATTTTTCTATTACATATAAGCGATACACGAGAAATAAGGCTTAATAAATGCTTCAGGATTAGTATGGAAATTTATAAGAGGATATTTAGACGCTTCGGATGGAGAATATTATAATGAATGCATTAATAAAATCGAAAAAGATAAACATCAATTTAAGAGTTAATGAAAAAACAAATATCAGTAACATTAGTTATAAAGAATTTTAATAAAACCATACGAAAACTACAAATTAACGAAGAAACTTTTAACAAAGATATTAAACAAATTGAGGAATCAGTTTACGATATATAGGATATTTTAAAATTTATCGAATCAAAGGTACAAATTTTAGATATATGCGAACAATTAATGGAATCTTTTCTCTTTATTGAAGATAACTTAAATGATATTTTAAAGGCAACTAAATTTTTTCTGTAGAAGGATCCCTTCCTTTCAGCTTCAACTTAAAAATATTTCCGATAGGATCTTTTTATCAGTAACGTCATAAACACATTAATAGTTTTCGCAGTTAACACTTGGATATACTGCATGCTCCGGTTACAATATTTATTATTCCCCAAAAGGCACATTTAATTTTGTGTGACAAATATGAGGTACCCTTATTGATAAGCCGCGGGTAATAATAATTAGACTTATTTACCATGAACGAGAGTGGAAACCACTACACTCAACAAAATCAAAATTTGAACTTTCATAATTATCGCACATCGCAAGCGGTGCAAACACTGCAATATTTTGTAGTGTACTAACCTCAGCTGATTGTAACAATAAACATGTTTTTGTTTTGCAATCACCGATAATAATTTAAATCTTATTTATGCGCATTACCTGTCAACGAGCGTCACCTAGTTTCGAAATTCGTCGGCATTAAAATTCGGTTCCAATTTGTTATCATCACCCACTTATTAGTTTTATGTTATGTTGTAATTCTAATTTTTTCCAGTAGCATAAAATCAAGTCCCGAAGGGAAATTTGAACGTATTTATTTAATATTAGAACTGATCTCATTTTAGGCAGATATTTCGATAAACACTAAATCAACTTAACTGATATGTTTTATAAACCGTTTTTTTCGTCACATTGCCACAGAGGTCACATATTTTGAATTACTTTTAGGGGCTCTGGTATTTGATCCAATCATCATAATAACATTATATCTTTCACAACACTATGGCTTCTTCTTCGGGTCTATCATTAATCATTATCTGAAATACAATGCTGATATAATGCTTTACTATTTTTATTTTATCTTTATGCCTTTGTTAATATTTGTTAAATTGGAGTTTTCTTATTGTAATTTTCATTTTCTGTACTGCAAAGAATTATACGGGTCTTAGTTTTTGTAATATTCTATCTAGCCAATGAATCACACACAAGTAGACCAGATTTTTTTAATACTAGAACTCGTTTTAATATTAGTCCTATTAATTTGACAGAAATATAGGGGTTTTTGTGATTTATGCGATGCGTTAGGGGTAAAATTGTTGGAGTTCAGCCCTCTCATGGAATTTAATCTAACGTAACTGAAGTCTTCTATAATTTCTAATAACCAAGAGTGTCGTAAATTTAATGAAAACCCCAAAGCCATTGCAATTTTGCAATTTTTATTCCCCGTCAAAAGTTTTATGGCCCGCCATGTGTACTTTTGCGATAAAGTTTTTATGACACCGCGCTATTGGTCCGTTTTCGGAGATAGGAAGAATAAAAGGCGTTTGGGGCCTAGAAAGGATCGTAAAAGATTTATATGAAAGTGCACATTTCACCCCACGGTCTCGGGTTGTTAAATCGCCGGAATGGCAGCCGTATCACGAGATGGAGGATATTCCTTTTGCAAGAAAAGAAGCTGTAGGGTTTCTATATTATATGCGACGCTGAAAAGATGATATGTGTGAGAAAGGGATCATGTTCTATCCATGACTAAGCTGTCTTGGTCTAAAAAAATGTCTTGTATCCCACTTCCGGTTCATTAGAATATCACGTGATATTTAAGTTATTCTTCGAATTAGTTTTAGTCCGATCTGAATTACTGAATTACGAAATCATATACCTTGATCCAAAAAGGATTCCACTTAGTTCCCAAACAGTAATCCATCTGATAAAATAAAACAACAAGATAATTAAAATGCCTTGAATGCACCGATCCAAAAATTTTATATTCTCACAGACAATTGTTATCTAAATTGTTAAACTGAAAACAGATTCGTAGATCCTAAGGCACATAAATTTTTGCGACGTTACTTTATATAGGCCCCATACTTATATTCTTTGGACTTATAAGGATTCAAATACCTGTTGCATGATGAAAGTATTTTTTTTAATTAAACATTAATAATAAATTGAAATATTTAATTCCAAAAGCATTTAAACCCCATTTCGAAAATAGAGGTGTAAAATAGAAAAATGGAATTGTTTGGTTGTTTTTTCTTTCTATCTTTTGGAAGTACAATTAAAATTTTATTTTTAACTTGTTACAGAATTAAATTATTATCAGTTGAACTTGAACCTTCTAAAATTGTTTCGACTCTTGCAACCATGCCTAATATTTTAAAAATAAAATGGCATTGTTAATAAAAATAACATAATGGCAATACCAAAGAGTAAATTCTGTAAAGGCTTCTTCTTCAGATTTTAACGTTTTTAAGATCTGACGGTCACTAATAAATCATGATCCAAAATATTGATAAATAAAACAACATTATCTGGACATATGTTACAGTTGTTCATAATAATATCGCTATGTGTATGGAAGGTGATGAAATTGATAACAACCCCAACTAGTTGGGAAGCCACATAAATAAATCTATTTTTTTAACTTCCTACTCGCAAAATGTCAAAATGTCTATCGTTTTCGGTAGACTTGTACCCATGTACCCAAAAATTAATGGTCGTAGAAAAAGAATGTTATATACCTATGCAACTTATGGATTAACAATGTTTTATATATTGAAGTGAATAATATTTTCCATACCTATTCAATTCTTCACGTGTGAATTTAGTTCTTTATTTATTTACTTATAATTTAAAAATAAAACTATAAATAGATATTTTCTAGTTGAAGGAATAAGCAAATCAATTTCCGACGCGAAGTTTTTATAGATCAAAAAAATTTCATTTAAAGTTTAGCGTTAGGACTAAAGGATCAATACAGTAAATGATATTTTTTATTATTATACGCCAGTACGCGAGGACACTCTAAATTATTCAGCTACTCGCTAATTAATTATCTGTTATAAGACTTGCTTATGACATAATAATGCAAGTCAGATTTGAGTTTGTGATGGGTTGTCACCAAATTGTAAACAATTATTTCTGATCAGGTAGGTATCGTATAACGAACGTTTTTTTCCAAACAATACTCAAACAATGAGGCTCTATGAGAATTTAAGCCTATAAAATAGACACAAAACTTTTTCCCGAAGATTTTACGAACCAAGGAAACATACGAACAATGCCACCTCTTCAACAGATAAAAATAAAAAAACCTATAAAGACGGTTCAGTAAAAGCCGAAGAGTTATTCCCTTAATCCCAAGGTTTTTTCTAAATGGTTGTCTTGTAATTCAAAGTGAAGGTCGTATCTCATCGTTTATGTTGTCTGCATCGGATGTTTGGACCAGAAAGTATTCGAAAACATACATAAAAGCGTTTCTTAACTTTGTGTTTTTCTATATTGGGAGAGCAAAAAGTTTCGAAAGATGATTCTAGTTCTTCTTTTTTAAATAGTACAAATATTATAGGAGAACAACGGCGAACCTGCTCAGCTCGAAATAATGTTTATTTGACCAACTCAGTCTAAAAAGTCACCAAATCGCGATTACCCAGAACTATGGGACTGTAGGGTATAGGACCAGACGCCAAGAGGGCAATAACTATACAGAACATCTATCTGTCATATTATAACATTAAACAGATAATTTATTAAACATGATAAAAGTAAATTTTTTTATTAAAAATAAATAATAAATTGATGCAAAAAAAGTCAAAATTTGAGAAGAAATAAGGCAATCCTTTTTGCAAATACCCTATTTTTTAGGAAATGAAAGCTAAAAAGTACCATATCCTTTATAAAAATGTATTTCTCAACTTCCTACTTAATACACAGGTTTTGGTAATTTATTCACTGGTTGGTGAGCGACCCGATAGATACATTCTACCACGTTTTTCAACAATGTATCCAAAAAGTAATAGTCGTAAAAAAGTATTGAACCTAGTAATATAAATGTTCGTCGTTTTGCTGGTATTTAAGCGATTTTTTTTAAATATAGGTGAACCAATTCGGTGGTAGGGTAAGCAATTTATGCCATTTTCTATTTTGCAAGGACCGGTATTCTATTTATTTAACAAAAAAAGGTAAAGTGGAAAATAGGACCCCTTTTAGAAAGGGGTTCTTATCGTACAAAAAATAATAATTTATTATATAATTTTTTATTCTTACGTTTAGAAAATTGGAAGGAAACTTTTGTTAGAATATTTGAAAATTATGAAAATTGCAGAATATGTAGAAAAAAAAGAGCGACATTTTCTAAAACTTTATTTGCCCTGCTGTCATTTGTTTAATCAATCAAATCATTTTGTCCAAAAAGACAAGAAAGTTGTTAATAAATACAAATTTGAATAAGTTATGATACACTAGGTGATTGTTCTGTAAATTAATCTATTATATGTATATTAATACTGTTCTTAAGTTGCCTGCTATTGCAGCACGTATTGCCGTGCGCGAGTGCGACTCTGTAAACCGCTCAATAAAGAACCCGAATTTAAGGGCGAATCTACGTCGTTCTGCCCTTTCTATGATGGCTCTTATCGCTGACGCCAACCACCGTTGAGATGGGGTGCAATTCATGGCTTGGTAGATATCAGCACCGTATTACTATTTTTCAAATCCCCAATTATACGTACGTTTGTAAAATTCTTCTTAATTTCAATGGAAAGGAGAAATATATCCATATAAAGTTCCGATCAATACGAGAGGCATTAAACAAAAAATAAAATTGAGAACAATACTTTGAGCTCCTAATAATAACCAAGAACATATAGATGTAAAGGTACTTCAAACATAAAGATTTCTTTTTTTCCATTACTATTACTATTATACTATTATCAAAATTCAGTCTAGGTATAAAAGCCAGAAAACCACGACTTTAGGGGCTTGCGTAATTTCAAGTTGACCTAAAGTACGTGATTCATTTCAATAATGTACTTTATCCATAAATTCAAAACTTATGTAAAATGTGCAAATTGCAAAGCGGTTAGTATCTTAATATTTTGGACATTTTAATGTAGAATACAAAACGCAGTTGGATTTCCTACAGGATCCTCTTATTATTAAAAAAATAGGTGCTTAATCGCATAAACTATCACAAAGTCAATTCTTGTGTATTTGTCTGTCTTTTCTATTACCTTTAGGGTAAAATTTAGAATGCATTCGGTTTGATTTAAGATGTTCTTTAAAAGAAAAGTCCAAGTATGTGGAAAATTAAACTAAAAATTTGTGTTAAAACTTTTTTAAAACAGCATTTGCTTATTTAGTTGATTATATAAAAACACCAATTAAAAATGTTACAAATAGGCATACAAATACAACTTATCCTGATAGTTAAAAGGAATAAAAGCTGTAATCTGCCCATTACTTTAAGATGACTAAAAAATGATTAAGAACTTGGATAGAAAACATGTCACGAACTCATGCATGAAGCGCCAGTGATTAACCAAGTAAATTGTCATAAG